CTACCATTTTTTTTTTTTCTCTCATCAAAACTGAATAGCCTGTTCATCAGTGGTTACAGCCTATATCAAGCAGGGACAAGTTTGTGTGCATTTTATTTTGTGATTTCACCGGAATGAATAGAGAGTCTCCGCAACGGCGATAGATTGAAACGCGCGTCCGAGTGAAGATTATGCAACTCGCACAGCGCGTCGTCCATGCAACTGATAGCAGCGGACACGAGCGCTCAGCTTGATTTCAAAAACAACAGATTTTAGCGCTAGATCTCTTATTTAATAGCGAACTAAATGAATGATCTGCTAGTTAACTGGAGATGTTTTATTTATTTGTATTAGGTACATCCGTGCCTCAATGTTTCAAAAAGTCAATGTGTGTGAAACCATATTAAAAAACAATTGGTGTTGATTGAAGGCAATCGGACGTTCATGTTTAGTTAGGCTAATAATAACGTTGCATTCTATGAAGCCTGATTATGTCATTTTTTAAGTTATATAGCCTGCCTCCAGTTTTCCTCAACTTGACTAATTAAGAGACGATATTTGACCGGCATATCATCAAAATGTCCGTAAAACGAAACCTCTGCCGGTCACTTTGACCGGCACCATTTTTTTCTAGCGGAAACTCTGCTAGAAAGTAATATTCAGTTGCCTATTGTCTACTGTTATATAAATACTGTGAATTTAGATATACTACTCTGTGCAATTTCAGATGAAGATTTAAATAAAGATAAACATGGCTAACTAGCGTAGATAATGGAGACCATTTGCATATAGACTCGGAAACAAAAATGAAGATAACATGGCAGCAAAGTCATACGTAGACCAGGGAGCTACTTGCCATTCGGGAAGACTTCAAAATTGACGGTCAGCTTAGTTTAATTTCATTTGTTTATTTATATAGCACCTTTATTGCAACAGCTGTTGCCCAAGGTGCTTCACAATCACCAATAAAACACAAATAAGAGTACAGAGAAAGAAGAAAATGAATTTTAAAAAAAGCAGAAACGCACAGAACAGACAAGACAATGATCAAACACCCATCATGAAGATGCCCAGGAAGTTTTTAGCAGATGTGCTTTTAACATCGCCTTAAATTTCGGTAGTGACTTTACTGACCTTATAGAAAGCGTAAGACTGACATGACACCTTCATAACCATGACATGACATATGTCATGAATATGAAGTAGGGTTTATGCATGTTTATGACAACTGTCATTAAGTGTCTTTCGCTCAATAATGACATTTTGAATGCAAATATGACATTGTTAAGATGTCTTTGCTATGACATCTTGACATAAACCATAACATCATAACCTGTCAGTGTATTTGTCATGACAACTTGACATTAAATTAAATTAAACTGTCATGTGGTTGGTTTTGACACTGGCTGTCATGAGGCCATTATAACTGTGTCATGAATATTTTTCGTGACCTCACCTACAGTGGTACAAATTGAATTTGTCACTAAAAAGTTATAATGGCTTCATGACAGCCAATGTCAAAACCAACCACCTGACAGTTTAATGTAATGTTAACCAATAAAGCTAAGTGGTTTCTTAAGTTTGATAATTAATCTGCTAGGTCATGTTTATGACAGGTTGTGTTGTCTTAGTAATGTCAACTTGTCATGACAAAGACACTGACAGGATATGATGTATTTGTTTATGTCAAGGTGTCATAACAAAGACATCTCAAACAATGTCATATTTGCATTAAAAATGTCATAACTGAGCGAATGACACTTAATGACAGTTGTCATAAACATGCATACAACTTCCTTCATATTCATAACATGTGTCATGTCATGATTATGAAGGTGTCATGTTAGTCTTATGCACACCCCTTCAAGTAAAGTGTTACCGGAATCTCTTTTTAAAAGATGCATATCACAGTTGTTTGAAAGTTTCACTCCTGGAGTTGGGTTCTCTTCAAGTAGCCCTCTCTTTTCAGGGTAAATGCGATGGCAACATGATGCAAAGTTGGCTTTGACAGAACATTCAGCTGAATAGATGTAGAGGAGTTAGACAAAACCAGGAGTCAAGGGTAAAAATAAAGCTGCACTGGCCTTGACATAACTCACCGCAAGAAACATCTGCATGCTGAGTTAGAACATGCTACTTAGCTTCGCATGCACATTTTGTACTTTCAACTTATTTGTAGATATCTAGAGAAAGCAGGGTAGCGCAACTAGATCATGCTCGCCTTGGTGTTGCAGACACTGACATACCCAAAGAATATTCAGTGGCCAGCATTTGTGGCATGCTGATGATTACCTAAGAAAAGAATTTTGACTCATCCCTCAGCTTGTAAAAATGAACGGAAAACACATTTACTATCATACTGTACTGTGTAGCTAGCGATGGAAGCTTAGCAGGTCAGTGGGACAAATGGTTTAAAAGCAGAAATGTGAAGCTTGTAGTTTTAAAGCACTTACATGAATTATTTAGTATAAGAAATGTTGTTGAAATTTTGTATAAGGCGTAATGATATGACGCAGCGCCTGAAAATAGTTCCGTTATGTTGACGGAAGGTATCCTATTTCCGTTATATCATTACGCCTGCTGCACTCATGGTACGGCAGTAAAGTTTCTTGATTATTACGCAGGAATGAGAGTATAGTTCCTAGCCATATCAGCCTAGAAAATAGCACCTTTACATTTTCCGTCGGTCTTAGTGCACGATGTAACTACAGAAGAGTCAAGTTTTAAATAGGAAAAATATCGAAACTCTTTGGTCATTTTTTTTTTTAGAAATGCTAATGGTCTAGTCCACTTCAATGATGTATGCTAAGCTATGCTAAAAGTGGTACCGCCAGAACCGGAGATCGGCTGAATGGATTCAAAAACGGTAAAACTCAACAGTTTAACTCTGGGGGAGTTGTAAAAGGAGCCTATTTCCAAAAAAAGTTGTTGAGCTGGAACTACTTTTCTAGGTTTTGGTTCTCTGCGGGTTATGTTTGCTGAGACATCATTTACAGATTATTTCACACTTCTTTGTGGTAACCTTCAAGTAAGCGGGTTCAGTTTTTAAAAAATGTACTTTTAAAGTGATAGTTGACCCAGAACTGTCATTATTTACGCACACCCTCAATAGGGTCACTACTGACTTTTATTATGGACAAAAAAAAAAGAGAGATTTTTTTTTAAATATCTTATCTTTTTATGTATTTCACAGAAGAAAGCAAGTCATACCAGTTTGGAATTGTCATCTCTGCTGTGCTAGACTTTGGTCATATAAAGCAGTTCACTGATGCTTTAGTTATTTAATAAGTTGCAACAAACAATGTAAAATATTTCTTTAGGTTCAGCAGTTTGAAATGTACAGTACGTACTGGGAGCAAACTTTTAGTGTCCAGTGGAATTAGCTTCATAGTAACACCCAGGTAGTGTACATCACGTTAAAAATGTTTTATGTCGTCTCTGCATTTTTTCTTTGCCCACATAAGAAACCAGCCCATCTCTTGGCTTTGTCAGCTTTTTCCAAGGGTGCCAGGGTTAGACACTAGCATGTCAGAGGACGCCATGCAAATTACAAACCATCTCCAAGATTTACTCCATATGAGGTTGGTTGTTTAGCAGACAGAGCAGCCAAGCTGTAAGAAGTAGATCCAGAGTAATTTATCTCAGCTTTGCATCTTCCCTGTGCTGGTTCACCATAATTAATGGCGTACTACAGAGTTCTGTCTCCCAAACAGGATTGTCAAGGAATCACATCATAAGACCTCTATGACCCAAGAAACACAACTCATCACCTCTGACTTCATTTGCCCACCTAATTTGCAGATGATTTTCCACCAATGTCTAAGTTTAATCACTTAGAAAATAATAGTTGAATAAGCACTTAAGTTCAATTTAACACTTGTGGATATGTAGTGAAACTGAAGCCGGCTTCACACTGTACGATTTTGACCACGATTTGGCCGTCTGAGACCAATTTTGTGAATCCTAACAGATTCCTATGATCCTAGGCCAAAATTTGAAGTATTTAATTGGTAGTTTTTTTTAAGCATGTTCGCAGACAGCCGGTTGATGGCCATTGCCAGAATTTAGTTGGAGGAAAAATTGTATTGCAGTGTCAGAAGTTGAGGTGCAATGCTGCAGTGTGGTTTCTCTTATGACAACCATCAAATTTGACGCAATTAGCGAGACGACAATGCTCCACCATCTTCGTTTTATCCAGTTTTCTTTTCAAGAAAAGCCAAATCAAAATGAACGCAAGAGATTGTTTTTGTTTGCTAGCCACCATTTCTTTCCCGCATGTAAATGCAGCTCACGTCACAGATTGATGTAAAACTCTGGACAAGTCTTCTTGCATGCATCCGTTTAATGCATCTTGACTGTCATAGAGTCTGGCATTATGACAACTGAGATCCTACAGTGTCAAATGGCTTTCAGCCGCGGGAATCATGTTCGTACAGTTTGACAAGCAACATTCGTAAAGGACTATTATAAATCATATAGTGTGCACCCGGCTTTACCTTAGCAAGTGCTACTAAAAATAAATAACTTCAACAAGAACAAATTTATTGTCTTTTTTTATTGAGGCAAACAGCCCAAAACAGTCTTCTATTCATCAACAGTTCACAAATTTTGAAATGTATAGACATTCATAACGAGAGATGATGCTAGTTGAACAGTTCAGAAAAGCCAGTTAGCTACAGATATTAGATATTGTAGCACTTAACCTTTTTTGTAGACTTAATACATCTGGTCAACACTCAAACTAAATTTAGTGTTGAATGTGGAGTCATTATCTTATGAAACATAGAAACTTCTGCTATATCAGGGTAAGAAACTGCAAACCATTTGACATAAGATGTTTTATACAATTAAAGAGCAATATGAGCTACATTTATTTGATTTTTTTTTTAATTATCAAAGAGTGGGAAAACAAAAATCACATTTTTTGGAATTATTTAACTAAATACAACAGTTTAGCAGTGAACAGGTCAATTTATTTAGAAAATATCAATAGCAGTAGTTAAAAGTTGTAGTTTTGAAGATTTTGGGGGGCAGGGCGGCATTTATACAGGTGATCAACACTTAACGTCCCATTGTTGGCATTGTAACGGCAGGGGACTTCAGTGTAGCATCTTCTGCCTTCCACTGTGAGGTAATAGTTTTGATCTGCGTGTAGAACTGAATGCCCTGTGATGGAAAGAATACCAAAATACTTAAGACTAAACAATGACTCAAGATTAGTCATCTTTTTAATACCCTCCCAAAATGACAATGACATCACATGAGAAATGGCAGGTGGCTGGCAAACGTATGCTGGCGAAAGCAATAAACCACTTGTGTCAAAACATGTCAGTCATAGTTTTATGACAAACTACAGCTGATGAAATTTTAAAGCCAAACTCTGGAGACAAAACATGGTAAACCAAATGGACCATGTCACCTGATTTTAAACTCCGGCCGGTTCATTTGACATCTGGGGAAGATATGGCGTGACCAATCATTCGAAAATATTTTTTTTTCCAAGGCAGAAACAAATGTCAACTTCTCAATGTCTCTTTCAATTTGGTAATTGTTTTGTTTTGTTTATTTTGTATAATTGAAATTAGTCTTTTGTGTTTTATTTAAAAAAAAACTGTATTCTTGTCAGATGTTCTACTTTTCTACCGTCTGATTAATTTAAAGGGGTTAAACGCAAGACGACGCAAAAGATAAAACTCAAACTGTACATCCGAAGCACGCGCCCAGAAAGCCGCGTCTGGTCTGACAGCACGTGAATACTGATTGAGTTCTCTTTTACGTCTTCTCGCTCTTGACAATTCCACACAAAATTATGCTAAAATTCCCGTCTTGGCAAGTATCCTAGTAAACATAGTTGGTTATGTCTTTAAGTAAACGTAAACAGTTGAGAAAGAAAACACATGTGTAACAGTATCAGTATATTGGATCTATGCATTGTCTTAAAGTGACAGCAGCCTAATATTCCTGATGCTGCCTGCGTTTTAAAGGTCCCATTCTTCAAACTTTAATTAGTGTGTAATGTTGCTGTTAGAGCATAAATAATACCTGTAAAATTATAAAGCTCAAAGTTCAATGCCTAGCGAGATATTTTATTTAACAGAAGTCCCCTTTCAAAGCCTACAGCGAACGGCCGGTTTGGACTACATCCCTCTACTTCCTTTTTTAATGACGTAACTAGAACAGTTTTTTGACTCATCTCCGCCCGCAGGAATACACAATAAAAGGGGGCGTGGTCTTGTTGCGCTCCCACGGAGAAGAAGCACTTCAGCTGCGCATGCATCTCCAATTTATGCTAAGAGGCGTGACCTTTCCGGGCAACGTGCGATAAGCTGCTGTCGAATCACAACACAGGAACCGCTGGCACAATCAGAACTCGTTACGTATTTCTGAAGGAGGGACTTCATAGAACAAGGAAGTCATCGGGCCGTTTTTTGGACAGTGAAAACAGCGGTATGCAGATAAGTCAATTGTGTGAAAAATACTGTGTATTTTTTACACGCGAAACATGAACACATGTTATATTGCACACTGTAAACACAATCAACGCTTCAAAAAAACATGAAGAACGGGACCTTTAATGTTAATCATACAACAGACTCACTGCAAAAGAAACAAAAAAATAATTAAATGCTTTTGACTGAATAACTTTTGTAACTTTAATAAGGATGCATCTTTATTTAATTATACAGTGTGAAGACTATGCAGTTATTTTACATTTGATTCAATTTCTGTACCTAATTTGTATCTAACTACAGTTAGATCTACCTGAAAAGCAGTTTATTTAATTGGCATCTTTGTTATATGGTCTTTATGTGTGCTATTGCTTGTAGTTTGATTATTTGTAATTTTATTACAGACTGTTTACTTGACTTTAATAGTGTTTGATATATATATATATATATATACATACACACACACACACACAGTGAGTGATGAATACTTACTTGCTTTCCATAGAAGTTTGTGTCCCCCCTGAAGGAGCCTCTGGAACCGGTGAATGAAAACATGGGCAGTGGGACGGGGATTGGTACATTAACTCCAATCTGTAAAAGGAGCACATTAACAGACGTCTCAGAGGTCAGCTGTGTTTGCCATCTTAGCAGTCATGTTCACTGCATCTCACATATCTGACACACTCACACCCTGATGACAGTTAAGACAACAGCTTACCCGTCAGACGCAAATGCATTTTTGTCTGCCGCAGAAAGCTGTATGCTTTCCTCACGTCGCTAGACACCATGTGGGAGTGACGGTTTGTAAATTCTATACATTACCTCTTCACGTTTGTCTCCCTGCTCAATGTAAACTTAGAAATCTCACCATACAAGTGCAGCTCCAACCTTTCCAGTGTGTATTGAAGAGCTTGCCTACTGCGCTTCAATGTCAATGTAGCAATTAAAGTCCAGAAATAGGAGTTTACATAACTACAGTTTAAATGTAGTGCTAACCTTTACTAGATAGCAAGCGAAAACAGGACAATCATCCCAGTGGATTTCGTTTCTTTTTTCTGACATGGGTTTCTTCCACTATGAGAACATCTGCCTTGTGGATTGTAAAAAGAAACCTAAACTTTCTTAAAAACCTGCTAAAATGCGTGTTTCAAATAATTGTACATTTTTTTTCTGAAAGTAAAGTAAATTCCCTCCACAGTGTCATTTCCGAAGTTGAATAGTTTCTGTAACGGAAATGACATTTTTGGAACAAAATGGCCGACTCCTTCGTTTCGCAAATTTCATAGCCAGCCTTTTTCTGTATCCTGAATACACACAACCACAGACTCCTCAGCACAGACCCCTATGGCCAGCTATGAACCCCCCATGCCAGGACCTGCTAGGACCACAACGCAGTTTCGTCATGCTTACAGTCATTGATATGCTATTCGTCCACTACAGGCTAAACTGCAGCCCTGCTGGACAGACTACAACTCCCACCTAATGATGGCTTGACGATATCTATCCACAATCTGACTTGTGATGAACCCTGGAATCATAAATCACATCATGTTCATTTATTTGGCCAGAGAAGAACTGGCCTCCTCCTGACTGAGCCTGGTTTCTCCCAAGGTTTTTTCTCCATTTCTGTCACCTGATGGAGTTTGGGTTCCTTGCCACTGTCACCTCTGGCTTGCTTAGTTTAGGTTTAAACAACACTTAGGCCGTGTGTCCACCAAAGCGTTTTTAGGCAGCTGAAAACGCTAGACGCTCTACTGAAAACGCCTAGCTGTGGGCGCTTGAGAGCGTTTTGGCAGCACAGCATTTTTTCGGTTGAGACGCTTCGTTGCTATGATACAGAATATCCGCAGCACAGTTTACTTGTAACTGATTTCGCAGATAATTTGTTTCATGCTAAAAATTAATTTTTCATCCATTTTGTTCGGTTAGCTCTCTTGGTTGATGTCGTTGTACAGAAAGAATGTTGTGACAGTTGGTCGGTGTGGTATTAGTCCCGCCCCTCCTGCACTGTGATTGGACGGCTGGGTAAAAAGTGACAGTGATGAGCGCTGCGTTTTATCCAAAGTTGGACATTTTTCAACTCTCGACGACCAGTAAAAAACGCCGGGCGCTCGGCGCTTCAGCGTGAAAAAAACGCTCAGCGCCTCGTTACGCTCATGGCGTTTAAAAAACGCGGCGCTCCCATTGAAAACAATTGAAAACATACGCCAGGCGCGTGAAAAAACGCTTTGGTGGACACACGGCCTTAGGGTGTGTTCACACTTGTAGTTCGGTTCGCTTGGTTCGTTTGGTCTGGACAAAAAAAAAACACCTTCAGTTCTGGTCTGCTTAGCGTTCACATTGGCATTTTAACACCGAACCTAAAGACATAGGGATATGCTCACAACCTGATTGGTCGGCTTTTATTATGTATATTTCGTGACAGAACTTACTGTGTTCTGGGCTAAATGCGCTCGTTGTATGTGCATAGCCTACATATGATGGTATTTTGACCAGCTGAGAACTCGTGAAGAGCTTATAAAAACGTGTAAAGGACTCAAAACAGCGGCAGGAATCCCTCCATCACACACACAAACGAAGATCTGCTGCGAGGAGATGCCTGTACTGAACTGTGATGGGCAACATCGCAACTATGACGAGAAAAAACACGCATACTTGAGCATTCTGTCCTTTTATAGGTTCACATCTTGTGACATCATGTCCTGTTTTTGGTTAGTTTACATGTCTTTGGTCTGTGTTGTGTTCATATTTCAGTCGAACCGCATCAGAGTTCGTTTGGAAGAGGACCGAGACCCATCTTTTCAGCGTCTCAGCCCGGTTTTTTGGTGCACAAGGGTTCAGATGGCAGCGTTCACAATTATTCAAATGAATCGCACTAACAGTAATTGCACCAGGGTTCGTTGAAATCAAACCAAACATGCCAAGTGTGAACACACCCTTATAATATTCAGTCATACTGCATTATCCTGAAGTTGAAGAAACACCCATGCACATCTTTGCTTTGGGAACAAGCTACTGTTGGGCTTCAACAACTGTGTACGGAAAGTGTGGAACAATCAGCTCATTCTATTGAAAGAGTTGACGAGGCAGTCGACACACAACTGAAAGCCACAATCATTTGTTTGTGTACCAGCTGAGAAAAGTAATGGATGCAGAGAATAACTAAACAAAACATTTTGTTTTTGGGATGGGGTGAGGCTGGAAACTGGCAGAGTTTTTTTTTTTTAATGCGGTTGCACAATTTGAGCCTTCTGGCCGAAGGTGACTCGTGAGGGAGTGGACGAAAAAAAAAAAAAAAAAAAAAAAGGCAAAAGGAGGTTCTTGTGTGAGGGGGATTGAGAGGCCAGCTCAGCACATGGCCCGTGCCGTGTACTCCAGCATGTGAATCGCAAACACACAGCATAGCGGCTCGCCACTGGCAAATAAACGGGGTAAAAGGGGGCTGTTTTTTGCATAACCACCAGATCAACAGGTTGCAAGGGATCCCTTTTGAGTTTAATTTCAGACTCAGGGCTTTACCAGCAAAATATTTTGGCATAGTGCTGGTTTGAATAAAAAGCACATATTTGCTGTGAACTATTTGTAGTGTGGATGTTTTGTGGTAGCAGCTGTATTTTGTACATTTTAAAATATGTGGCAAACAAGGGAAGTTCAGGAAGGCTTTACATACATTTTTTAAAAGGCGGCCTTGTGTTACTTATGCTAAAGAGACAACACTTGCATATGAAACGTGCTTTCGGTCGAGGAGTGGCGCCAAGGGGATTTTACACATTTCATTTACTTCACATTCTAATATTTACTCGAGAGGTGTGTGCCTGGAACTCTTTACCTACAATGGTCTTGTCAAGAGCCTACATGACATATGGAGGTGCCCAATACGACACAACTGAACATTAACATGTCTACACTGTCTATAAGGGGGGATTTTTCCAGACGTCCAGAGGTCTCTCAAAGTTCTGACTCTTGCATGCACCCATCTCAGGTCACACAGATTCCAACAGTGTTAAACTGCACTATCAAGGTGGAATAACTAGTAGGGATGTGTGTATATAATAAGATACTGAGTCTGATATAGCACAATTCTTTTTCTCACTAATACAAGCATTCCCATTTCCTGCAGTCCAAAAAACCACCAGTTCAACCCAATAAGCATAAACTCTAAAACCAGAGTTTAACAATGGGATATCTCCTGTGTTTAGGCTGAAATCTAGTTTCTTAATGGGATATCTCTTGTGTTTAGGCTGAAATCTAGTTTCTTAATGGGATATCTCTTGTGTTTAGGCTGAAATCTAGTTTCTTAATGGGATATCTCTTGTGTTTAGGCTGAAATCCAGTTTCTTAATGGGATATCTCTTGTGTTTAGGCTGATATCCAGTTGAGACAGTTTGATGTATCTCAATGTTAATCATAAACCCAGCCAATATTGAAAGAAATCTCACCTGACCAACATCAACTTCATTGGTGTATTTACGTGCTGCGGCACCGTTGGTGGTGAAGATGGCAGTTCCGTTGCCATATGGGTTCTTATTGACCATTTTGATGGCTTCATCCAAGCTGTCAGCCTCCAGAACCACCAATACAGGTCCAAATATCTCCTCTGTATAGCACTTCATGTCGGGCTGAAATTGAGGTAGCACAAACAGCAGGTGTATAACATTACATAGCCTTTGCATCCTATTGACATGTTCCAACTTAGTTGGGATTTAACCACCTACAGGTTACAAACAGTTTTTGTCCATATAATGAAAGTCAATAGCTGCGTTTCTACTGTCGGGCCAAAAGCTATGAACATGGGGAATACCAGAGACCGCTTGAACTTAGACATGCCTATGGACTTAAAAGCCTTAACTTTTAGAAAGTGAAGGCCTCATCGACACGACAGCCATCGGCACTGATCCTCAACAAACTCGTCTCCATACCGGCGTGATGACTCCGACTTCCAACCAGATGGAACTGGATAAATATTCTGAATGTTGTGATCCAATCTGACTTCTGATCTGTAATGCTGCCTGGATCATAATCATACACTGTTCGCTCATTGGCCAGAGGAGAACTGGCCCCCGACTGAGCCTGGTTTCTCCCAAGGTTTTATTCTCCATTCTGTCCCCTGATGGAGTTTGGGTTCCTCGCCACTGTCGCCTTGGCTTTTGGCTTGCTTAGTTGGGGACATTTAATATTCAACAATATTATTGATCTGCCTGCCTTAAGGTGAACGATGATGCAATTTTCTTCTAGAAACAAACTTTGTTGTATTATTTTCATGTTATCACTGTGTGAAGCTGCTTTGATACAATCTGTATTGTAAAAAGCGCTATATAAATAAAGGTGACTTGACTTAGAGTTGTTTTGTGCATTCCTTTGATCACAAATAAATGGAAGCAGGGTCGACTTAATAAGTAGGCTATTACCAGTCCCTCCAGAAAAAGGCGATTATGCGATCGCATGATTTAGTGCATAATTTGCTTCACACAAGAGCAGCCATTTCCCCCTGTTGCCATTGGAACGTTATGAAGTGACGTAATTATGCGACGTGAACATCATCGAAAAGCTGTAAAACAGGAGCACACTTTTTTAAAATATTATACATTTTTACAGAAGTTGTAGCATATTCCTTTTGTAAAGCTACAGAACTTGTTTGACTCATCAATGTTTTGTAAGTTTGATGTTTTTATTAAGGTCTGAAATAAAACAAGATGAGAAATTAAATATTTCCAGCACTTTCTGTGATGTAGTATGCTTGCTTATCATAGGAAGTAATAAGAAATGACTCTTTACATTAAGGTAGTAGCCTAGTGAGAACAGGGTGTTGGAGGAATCACTTTTTTTTCTCTTTTTCATCAAACCGCAGTTTTTGCAAGTTCCCGCAATTTCATCGCATAAATGTCCCGCATATTCCATCGCATTTTTTAAGAAAACGGGCTGCATAATAAAGGATTTTTGCCCGCAACAATCACAAACAAACTCTTTTTTTTCTGGAAGGACTGTATTACGTGTCTCTTTTTATGTGCAATAACGATAAATGCAGTATAATTCAGCATGAATTAATGTGGACTCCTGACACAAATTAATAAATAACTGTCAATGTAACATTTTTATTGTAAATAATGGTCAAATACCAATGCTGGACTGATCTAGCTAGTTTTCAGTCAGCTAGCTACCCCAAGCTGGTGAATTGGTGAGGTTGTGTAACGTTCTACAGAGGCGTGTTAAGGGTGGGTTTTAGGGTAGCCCTGCGGGGCTACTGGCCTGACAGTGGAAAACACAGCTTGATTTTGGCCTTGCGGCTCAAGGTTATTGGCCTTGCCTTGAACTGGCCTAATAGTGGAAAAGCGGTTAATGAGGTCCAAAACATCTCTAAACCCTAGTGACTTTCATTGTATATATATATATATATATATATAAAAACATCAAGACATTCTGCACAATATCCTCTTTTATGTTCAAAAGAAGAAAGGAATACAGGTTTGGAGCAACATGAATAAGTGGGATGAACATGCGCAAATAGTGGTTCTTACCGTAACATTGCTAATGATGGTTGGTCCTACGAAGTTCCCGTTTTCGTAACCCTTGACCTTCACATTCCTGCCATCAAGCAGCAACTTGGCGCCCTCATCAACACCACTCTGAATAAGGCTGTTCACTCGCTCTTTGGCCTGAGGCGAGATGAGAGGTCCCACATCAGCTCCGGGCTGGTCACCTTACAGAAGAGAAAATGGAAAATATTAATCAAATAAATTAAGGAGTTTTTGCAAAACATACCCAAACCACAGCCATTTCTGATTATAATTCGATTTTTGTTAACATGTTTTTAGCCTTAACTGTCATCACATGTGGCACTTTGAAACGAAAGCTGAATGAACACTATTTATTATATAATGAATGAGCAGAAATCTGATGATGACCACAAAAACGTGTGAATTCATATGTTAACAATTCAGCGCACAACCAAGATGCACTCATTTGCTGAATCATTACTGTAGTGAAGATGATTTAGGTGGATAGTTGGCAGAAAATGTAGCGGTTTCCCTTCCAAACAACAATTTACTTGGTTAACCAGAAGTTTAGACATCCAAAATGCTGGAGAAAGGGTTTCTCTGTCGTTTTGTTGATTTTCGCTGAATAGATGGATGACTTTCCTTTAATTTGCCCTTTTTTACTGGGTTGTAACCAAAGGGACTGGCAAACACTGACATATCCATATGCACTTGCACACATATACATGCACAAACATATGAATAAACACACAGCCACACACACAATTTTAGATACCCTGAGGCCATTTGTCTTAGAGGGCTGTTTTAAGGTTTCAGAATAGCTGCTGCGGTTTAGTTCCTCTGATTACAATTTTCATCGGCAGAACTTTTTTTCAAACATTTGATCGGCCCATACTAATTTCTGGTCCCCTTTATACCACAAAATGTGCTTCAGCTTTGTGGCATGACCAAGACAAATAGTGCGTCTCTCCTCTGGGTGAGCTGAACATGTTTTAAGTTGCTCAGGGAGAGGTGTGGTCATGAAGGCATGGGTGGTCTACAAAAAGGCTAAAAGAGAGGGATAGAGCAACCTGAATGAATTCAGACAAAAAAAAAAAGAGTGAAACTGTGGAAGAGAGACTTTATTCAATGAATATCATTAACAAATATTCTAAGGTGACATTTATGGTACTGTATATCATAGGCCCTGTTTACAGGCCACAAGTAGACGAGGGAGACACATACCCGTTTACACCTGGTGTTTAAATCGTCTCTTTTCTCCACTTTCAACCACTTCTGTTCTGATTTCTTCAAGGAGACGGTCTATGGGTGGGTAAATGTATGGGCTTTTTAAGATCTTTCGATCTAATGGGCGCAATAATCTCATGCAATTTACATATGAACACACCTGGAGACGGAAAAACATACGTAGAGCACAGCTTTCGTTTCTGCTCTGACAACCGCAAGACGACGCTGAACTCGGTGAGTGTGTGTTAGAAATCAGGAATGGTGAGAGAACATTTGATGAGGGTACGTTTTTCGTCTTCAAACCAAATTTGGGTCTTCAGCCGACAAAGTTGAAATCCCGTCTGACTAGCACGCTTCCCATTGTGTTTACGCATTAGCTCAGTAGGCGGAGAGTAGACGGTCTTTTGTGGCTGTTCGACCACATGAGCGTTTACACTATGAATCAATGGATCGGTCAATATTCATATCATGTGTTCTAACTGGCACGAAAAAAATAAACTTTAAAATGTTATATTATGGGACCCAACAGAACCACAGCCAATCAGAACAAATGTAATGTTTTCAACAAAATCTCACTGGTCCAAAATTATAAGTGACAAACCCTAGATGGACAGTCCCTTTGTCTATTTCATTTTTTTCCGCATTCTGCTCCGTCTCACACACAGTTGAACATGCAAACCTTTCACATTTACATTTATTCATTTTAACAGACACCGGGCGTTATCCAAAGCGGCTTACAAATGAGGAATACAACAAGTGATTCATCTTAAAGGGGCAATACAAATGAGAAATGCTAGTAATACGAAGTTTTGTTCAGAATAGTAAAAGCTAGAACAAGGAAGGAATACGTTTTCTCCAGGATGCAGTTAAGTGCTCAGGGAAGAGATGAGCATTGTCAAGGATTCGGAGGTCAGGCTAGGGTTGGGAAGATCATTCAACCAGAAAGAGACACAGTGAACAAAACCGTTCTTTCAAAGTATACTCCACTCCACGCAAGCGCAAACGGACACATTCGGGGCATTCACCTAACCTAGTGGTATTCAATCATTGCAAGTGCAGTTGTCAGGCATCAGCGGGCTATGCTGATGATGAAAATTACATCATGCGCACTGTTCCCGAATGCAGACAAGCAGAGTGCATTTTGGGCTTTATCGTGTTGTGTCTGATTAGGACACTGTGCTCCACGCCTAAATTGGGTGTCAGATTTGTGAGACATGAAAAGTGCCGTACTGGGGTACACCAGGATCAGAACTGACGAATATAATAAAGCTCAAGTACCTGCATTGACACGGAGACTCTTTGCACGTTCAACCAGCTCAGGCAACCAGTTTTGGGCTTCTCCTATGAGGATTGCAGTGGAAAGTGCCATGCATCTCTGACCGGCTGCTCCAAAAGCAGCACCTACCAACTGGTTGAGTGTGTTCTCTTTGTTGGCGTCAGGCATCACCACACCGTGATTCTTCGCCCCCTGGTGGACAGAAGATGAGATTCTGAAGAAGCAGCTCTACAGCTTTATCAAAACACAAACTCCAGCACTAGCACAATTGGAAATGGCCAAAGTAAAAGAGAGGGAAAAATGCAAAAAACACTGTTTACCATCTTGAATAGCTAGCTATTAGATTGGCATAAGATTCTAATGTAAAATTCAAGTTAATTTGCAAAACTGCAAAGAAAAGAAAAGGATTGTGGTAGTGGTGGGGATTGTTATAGGGTTTCAAACAAGGAAGTTTATCTGCAGTGAGAGCTGATGTGGTGGGATATCGAAATCCAAGGCATCTGTAAACTGCTAACTTATACATTTCTACAATTTAACTTAATTCACTGCTGTGCATCATCTGTAAGTCAGTCATGCTAAATCTAAAATTTCCTTCCCAAATTTTGAGTCAGACTAAAATCGCAGCCTCATTATAGAGGTTAGGAATGAACCAGAATGGTGAAGATTCATTTGTAACCGAATGCTGCCACCATCTGGCCATTACAGTTATGCTGAGAAGATACAGCTGCTACACTGTTTATTGTCACACTACTAAATATTAGTTTATTAACTCCTCTTCTTTTAATAAAAGAATCCTGGCCACTCTTTTCTATATAATGAAAGCGCATGGAAGCTATCAAGCTTCAAAAAGGGTGTAAAGACACCATAACGATACAACAAAAAAATGGTCCATACGACTTCATGCACTGCAATATATTCCAAGTTATTATTGACTGACAAATTCTTCTCCAATGAAACCAACCGATCCTTTAGACCAGGGATGGGCAACTCCGGTCCGGCAGAGTTTAGCTTCAACCCTGATAAACTCTCACCTGCCTGTAGCTTTCAGCTGTGTCCGAAATCGCCCCCTATAGCCTTAACAGGAAACTATTTAAAGGCACACTCATTTGTAGTGGTGTCCGAAACTGCAAATGGACGTTATCGAGTGCACTCATTCATTTACTCCCTCAAGTGGACTATATTAGTGGAGTAATGTAGGGAATAGTGAATGAGGGTATAGGGGATGATTTCAAGCACAGCCCTTGATTAGCTTGTCCAGGTTTGTTTGATTTTAGCTAAACTCTGCAGGACAGCAGAACCCATCCCTGATTTAGACCTAAAAAGACAGAACAGATAGGATGGATTCATTCATGAATCATTTATTTTTCAACTTGGTCAATAAAAATATTTGTTCATTCACTTTCATCATATTGGAAAGTGTGACCAGGATATTCTTAAACTCACATTTCATATTCCCTGGAAGTAACTAAGTAATATGGATTTAAAACAACATGGATTGAATTTAATTAATTAATTATTTATTCCTTTTAAAGATGCATTCAGTAGTTTGGAATAAAACATTTTCATACCATGCATTGAAGAAAACAAAATCGTCACTTTCTTCTGGGAAACTGGCGCAAAATATCTGTAATAAAAATGGACGTTGCTGCAATCCATGAAGATACTGGCTCTATTTTCCTCCATCATCATAAATGGCTTGCGTCTCAGAGCGTGCAAACGAAAACGCAATAAATCGCTGTCATGTTATCTTGCGTTCAGATGCTGGTGTTTGGGAATCCAGACGCTTTTGGGAGAGAATTAAACCAAATCATTCTGATGACAGACTTTGGCTCAGATCAAATCAACACCTGAGATGCTGTACAATGAAACTGATCCGCTGGTTAGTCCAGTTATCCAATCACATCCACTGTTGAGGCAAAGTCACGCTATTTTTTTTTTTGTTGCGCATTGAGGGATTTATTTAGTAAATGTGTTTCCATCATAGTTTACATGTCTTCGTATCGGATAAAAAAAAAAATTATCTGCCTCAAGTGAGCGTTTTTAATGCGCATCGTGTGGTTTCCATCCAGCATTATTCATGCGATATCCCAAAATCCATAAAAAAATAGGTGGATGAAAACATAGCTTGTGTAATTTTTTTTTTTTTTTTTTTTTAATACTTTTTTTATTGCCTTTTCTTAAACACTTACACAACAATGTACATCACATGTCTGTAACATCACATATAATGTACAAAAAAAAAAAAAAAAAAAAAAACACCGGGGCTCGTATTACATGAAAAGTGCAATAGCACAAACCAACATTGGATAATGAAGTATGTACTTTGGAAGTCAGAGTAAACAATACACTGCAATCAATAATAGTCACAGATAAGAGAAATAAAATAAAATAGGGTTAGTGCAAATTTAAATATATTTTAAAATGGATATAATACCTAATCAAGCATTTTGTTCCTCCTCTATTATATTGTTCATATCCCCATGCTCAAATAATAAAAAGGGACTCCAAATCCTCTTAAATTGGTCTTCTTTACCCTTAAGAATATATGTTATCTTTTCCACTGCAATGCATGAAGATATTTCTCTTAACCATCGAGTTATAGTAGGCCTTTCTATCTTTTTCCAGTAAATGGCGATGAGCCGTTTGGCATGTAGAATACACATGTCAATCAATACTTGAGTGTCCTTATTAATTTTCCAGTTATCAGGATGAATACCAATAATGAAAAGCCCCGGATCCAGTGGCAATCTAACTGAGACTATATGCCATATCATATTATTAATTTCTTTCCAAAAAGCTTTTATTTTATCACATTCCCACATACAATGAATTAATGTGCCTTTTGCACTGTTACATTTAAAACCGGTATCTGGTATGTTGCTATAAATTTTGTTTAGTTTCACCGGAGTTATATAGGTACGCATAAGCCAATTGTACTGTAACAGTTTTAGTCTGCTGTTAATTGTCTGTATTTGGGCTTTTGCACATGTTTGCTCCCATTTTTCCTTATCTATCTTCAATCCAAGGTCCTGTTCCCACATGGCAAGTCTGGATGTAGATGACTCCTGAGAACCTAACAATAACATGTTGTATAAACAAGATATGTGTCCTCCACCAAGGCTTGGTTTAGATACACATTTCTCCAGATTAGTTAGCTCTGGCTCAGCAAGTCCTTGCCCCCGGGCAGTACGTATAAAATTCCTAATTTGCAAATATTTATAATAATGTTTTTTAGGGATTTTGAACTTGTCAGTAATATCAGTAAATGACATTAGAACGCCCTCTTTGTATAGATCCTTAACTTTCCTCACACCATTCTGAGCCCAGAGTCGAAAGCCTAAATCCCTTCGACCAGGTATAAAATTATCATTTCCCCATATTGGGCTAAACACAGATAAAGACTCTTTTTCCTTTAGATGAATTCGTACTTCCCCCCAGACATTAATCATGTTCAGTACTATTGGATTAAAAGATATTCCACTAAGATTTTTTCTGTAATATTTTTATATTGGCTGAATAAAGATACAAGTTAAAAGGAATCTTCGATTTCACAAATAAATTTTCTATTTCTAGCCATTTAGGAGGAGCACTTGCAGAAAAATGAAACATTATCGCTCTTAACTGGGATGCCCAATAGTAGAATTGAATATTTGGGAGCTTCAATCCTCCCCTATCGTATGATAGGTAAAGCAAAGATGTCCGGACTCTTGGGTGTTTATTATTCCAAATGAACTGGATAAAAATTCTTCATAGAATGGTAAAAAATGAGGTAGTGGGGGGCAAAGGGATATTTTGGAAATAATAAATTATTTTGGGTAGTGTATTCATCTTTAATATATTAATGCGACCAATTAATGAGATTGGTAAACCTGACCATCTATCTACAGACTTAGTAATTGAATTTGTTAGGGCATTGTAGTTCAATGAAGTTATTTTTTCTATCTGGAGTCCTAAGTATGTAAATGAATCTGTAACGTTAAGACTGGAAGTTAAGTATGATCATTTTGACTTTTCCTCTTGATTAAGAAATAAAATAGAGGATTTAGACTGATTTATCTTATAGCCAGAAAATTTCCCGAACCTTTTTATGAGGTTGAGTAAAAAGCTGGAATAGATTGGCTGAGCTCTGTAAGAAATAATAAAACATCATCTGCATATAGGGATATGCAGTGTGTTATTGAGCCAATCCTAATTCCACTAATGTTGCTTTCATCTCGTACTGCAATAGCAAGCGGTTCGATTACCAAGAGAAACAAAAGTGGTGACAGAGGACATCCCTGCCGGGTGCCTCTATTTACTTTGAAAGGCTTTGAAATTATTCCATTGGTCAGGACCTCTGCTGTAGGGTGTGTATACAATAACTTAATCCATGAGCAAAATACTTCCCCAAAACCAAACCTTTGTAGAACCTCCCAGAGGAAAGGCCACTCCACCCTATCAAAGGCCTTCTCTGCGTCTAAAGATAAAATTGCTGTATCTGGAGAACCCTTTTTATGATGTAAAATATGAAACAACATCCGTACATTGTGAAATCCCTGACGGCCTTTCACAAATCCATTCTGATCATGGTCCACTATATTTGGTAAGACATTTTCTAGTCTTTTTGCCAATATCTTACTAAGTATCTTTGTATCAGAGTTTAGTAATGAAATTGGACGATAGGATTCACACTTTGTTTTTAATTTGTTGGGTTTAAGAAGGAGCATAATCTGTGCACCTCTTAACCCTCTGATGGTCTTCAAAAAAAAGTCACACTCGTGGTCTTCGGGGTCTATTGGACCCCAGACAACAACATTTAATTTTGTAACCGAACAATATTTTTTTTTTTTTAACAAATATAATTTTACTCTGTTTATTAATGTTTTTACTCAACATTTGTGCAGTTTTTGGAGAATTTATGATTTTTTTTTAAATTTCTATAAATAAATTAATAAATATTTAATTAAATAGGATTTTTACAAAAAAACAGCATTTTATGTTAAATAAACTTTATAAAAGACCCAGATTTCTAACTTTCATTCCTGGGGATACCATGGATAATTTCACAAGGTTTAATGTAAGATTTTTGCCCATTTTTTGGAAAATACAGGTTAAAATTTGTAATAAATCACTTTAACCACTAGATGGCTATAGAGCTCCATTATATGCTTTTTGCTATTTGAATTACTGAAAGATATAGTTTCTAAAGTTGGATTCAGTTGGATTCATATCTAAATATTATAAAATCACAATTATAACAAAAATAAAATAATTTGTCAATTTAGCATTTTTTGTACTGAAAAAACACTATGCATGGTAAACCGCATTACTTCTGCAGACAGGGTTGGAGCAGGTTTGGCACTTCACTGTTGTTGTTGTTGTTGTTGTGTGTGTGTGTGTACATTTTATTTTTATTTTTATGTGTACAGTGTCACCAATTTATTTTTGTGGTGGTTCTTCATTTTGTATGATTTTATTTGACAAATTATAAGACTTTTTATAGCCTTACAAATGTATACCTGTGTGTGTGTGTTTGTGTGTCTGTGTGTGTGTCTGTGTGTGTGTCTGTGTGTGTGTCTGTGTGTGTGTCTGTGTGTGTGTCTGTGTGTGTGTCTGTGTGTGTGTCTGTGTGTGTGTCTGTGTGTGTGTCTGTGTGTGTGTCTGTGTGTGTGTCTGTGTGTGTGTCTGTGTGTGTGTCTGTGTGTGTGTCTGTGTGTGTGTCTGTGTGTGTGTCTGTGTGTCTGTGTGTGTGTGTGTGTCTGTGTCTGTGTCTGTGTCTGTGTCTGTGTCTGTGTCTGTGTCTGTGTCTGTGTCTGTGTCTGTGTCTGTGTGTGTGTGTGTGTGTGCGCACATTTTCAATGCGTCTAAGTGTTACCAATTTATTTTTCTGGTGGTTCTGCATTTTAGATTATTTTATTTTACAAATGATAAGAGAACAGTTTTTATAGTCTGTATGTATTCCTGTATAAATGTATTCCTCTTTATGTGTGTGTTTGTGTGTGTGTGTGCGCCTGTGGTGAGCATGATAATTTTGGATTGTGGATGTTTTTTGCATTGTTGGAAGTGTGCCACTTTATTTCTGTCATTTCTGTCTATGTGTTCTACGTTGTTTCTGATTTTGATGATGTTATTTTGTCTATTTTGATTGCGGGGTCCAATAGACCCCGAAGACCACGAGTGTGACTATTTTTGTCACGCCAACATAAAAACAGATATCATTAATTTTTTTTTTTTTTTTTTGTAGATCTAGAAAGTGTTGAGAGCCGTAGAAAGTTTCAAACCATTTGGACAAAGAGAACATTTTTTTTAATTTGAGCAAAAGTCATTTGGGGTCCAATAGACCCCGAAGACCATCAGAGGGTTAAAGATGGTGGGAGTACACCTTGTTGGTATGACTCTTTAATCATATTTAAGATAGGAGAGGCTAATTTCTTCTTAAACTTCTTATAAAAATCTATAGGAATTCCGTCTGGTCCAGGAGTTCGACCACCTCTCAGATTCTCAATAGCACTTAAAATTTCTTCTTCTGATAAATCTGCTTCAAGATTGTATTTTACCTCATTAGAGATCTTAGGAATTTTAACCTCATTTAAAAAAAGTTTCTTGTTGTTTCCTATCTTCTGTGTATTCTGAGCTGTATAAAGAGCTAAAAAAATCTTTAACCGCATTATTTATTTTGACAGGATCCGTCGTAATGTCTCCCCCCTCTTCTTGAATAGAATTAATAGCGCTTTCGGACTGCAACTGTTTGATTCTCCATGCTAAAAGTTTCCCTGGCTTTTCTCCTTGATCATAATAGCTTTGTTTCAGTTTCATCATACTGTTTGCCACTCTAGAGGCGGACATCTCTTCATACTGGGCTCTAAGAAATAAAATTTCCTGACCAATTTGATCAATTTTAGTATCATTAATTTGATTTTGAAATTGTCTTTTTTCTAGGTCTTTCAATTTAGAATCCAGAAGATTTAACTTTTGATTACATAATTTTGATTGTGTTTTAGTGTAACTAATTATCTGACCTCTAATAAAGGCTTTAAATGCTTCCCATCTAGTACTAGCTGATGTTTCTGAAGTATTCATATCGAAATATAGGTCAATCTGTTGGTCCATATATTCAATAAACTTTGAATTTCCTAGCCACTTTGGATGTAATCTCCATTTTGGTGGGTCACTTCTTAAATTGGCATCCATGTATATCAGAGATATGGAAGCATGATCTGATAGTACCATACTATCATACCAACAGTCCTGAATTTTTGACAGGAGAGGTGCTGATATGAGAAAATAGTCAATTCTTGAGTGAGTCTTGTGCGTACTAGAGTAACATGAGAATTGAATATCTGTGGGCTTTTGGTTTTCTCCATACATCAATTAAATTCAAGTCATTTAAAAAAGATTTTAGCACTTTTCTTGTTTGATTGTGTGATTGATCGACTCCAGAAGATCGATCTTTACCCGGATCTAGGGTGCAATTAAAGTCACCTCCCATTATATAGTGACCGTGAAGTGAGGAAACAGTTAAGAATAGGTTAGTAAAGAATGTAGCATTATCTGTATTGGGACCGTATACGTTAATTAAGTTCAGTGTTTCTGACAAAAGGGTTCCCTTTATAATGACATACCTCCCCATAGTATCGTATTTTACCTCAGACATCTGAAATGGTATAGATTTGTGAATCAAGATAATTACCCCTCGTGCTTGGCTACTATAAGATGCAGAAAAAACTTGTCCGGGCCAACTCCTTCTAACCCTTATTATATCTTCAGATCGTAGATGTGTTTCTTGAAGGAACACAATCTTGCACTGCAATTGTTTGAGTCGGAGCAGAACCTGCTTGAGTTTTGTTATACTGTTAAGTCCCCTACAGTTCCAGGATGTAATTTTAAGCTTTACTTCTCTAGACATTGTTATTAATTATATGCAATGCACCCTTTTTCTCTATTAAACACTTGAATGTCTCCAAAATACACCAGAATGAACATATTCGCGAAATTATAGACCAAAAATGAAAAACAGCCCCTAGTTGAACAATTAGACATAAAAAAAAAAAAAAATAAAAAAAAAAAATACAAATTCAACTAAATAAACAAATTTCCCAGGTCTCTTCGACCACCCTTATTCCCTGAATTTAACTTCACTAGAAACAACACGGGACCACCGACTCTCTCTCCTTGAGGAACCGTTCTCTTTATGTCAACTCACGCCATCACTTCCGTACTTAAGCTCTTAGTATGTAGCAAACTATTTACACTGATAGTTTATGCGAAAATATACCAGTAAAAAAAAAAAAATTACTTTTTTGTCCACCGGCCACTGTGGCTGGTGGATTTCAAAATCTACCAGCCACTCAATGTTTTTACCAGCCACTTTCTTGCTTTTAACCGACAATGTGTAACTGCATGTGAAAATTAATACTACAAGAATACTTAAGCAGTTTATTTAATCTCAAGTCTCAATGAAATACTGACATTTTCTCTTTCTCTCACCCTCGGCCTCATCCACCTAATCTGTCATTTATTTTTGTTTTGATGATAATTTGAGCCAGCCTCCAAAAGTAAATAACCTGTCCTGTGATTTTTTCTCACACAACACTCTCCAGACACGGATTTATGAGCTATAGTATGTTGGTTGCCTTTACATTAGAATAATATTTAATATAATCTAGATATGAAATGGAATAAATAACATTCAATACAAAATTAATATGTCTCATATATTGAAATCAAGTTTTATGTGATAAAATATTTGCTTTGTTGTGCATTAGAACCACATCAGGCATTTAGTACAAAATAATTTATTGAAGCATCCAGATACTTCACCACGTGACAGCAGCTAGGCTCCTGATTGGTTAACGCGGCGCGAATTGACACCAAAGTTCAGATTTTTCAACTCGGGCGGCAGACGCGAATTCGCGTCAAACGCGTGAATGCACAAAAGCACTCAATAAAATCATGCGCGCGGAACGCGAGACGCTCGAACTTGCCGCGCGAATGAGGCGTATTCGCATCTACCACGGTGCGCTCTACACCTCATTCGCGCCGTAGGAATTTTTTACGCGCGTAACGCGTCTTTGCATTGACTTAACAATGAAATCACTCGCGCCAGACGCTCTATTCTCGTCTGGTGTGAACGCACCATGATGTTTTCTCTGCAGACCTCTACGCCTGCGATGTAACGCCACATTTTTGTTTGAAGGTGTGCCTCCTCTAAAAGTGTCCGCCGTCCGGGTGAAACAGTATGCTATTTTTATTTACCCGCCACGGTGGCCGGTAGGTGAAGCGAGTTTACCCGCCACAACACAAAATCACCCGCATTTGGCTGGTGGCGGGTGCTAATTTCCATCCCTGGTGAGGAGATAGATGTTTGCTGTATGTGACAAAAAATTTTTGGCCTAAAAAACGCGTGACATCGCTTAGAGCACCTTTAAAGAACCCAATGCTAGCTAAAGAACTACTGAATGCCTCTTTAAAGAAGTTAAGGTTTTTTTGGAGAGGATGCTTGAGTATGGTTGTTGTTGTTCGTAAATGAACAGACTGTCACATGCAATATGGTTTTCTGTGAAATGCATTAACTTTGTGTTCAAAACCAACCATGTTGCTCTGCACTCTCTTGCCATTTTTGGAGCCTTTCTCATAGATGTACTCGCCAGCCTGGTTGGAGCCGACGAAACTGATGGCTTTGATGGCGGGATGGTCACAGATGAAGTTCACAGCTATAAAACACATGCAAAAAAAAAAAATCATTTAGTTATCTGCACACATAATCTAGATCATAATGCGGCCAAATAGTAATCCTTCTGGCAATTTTCTGTACCGTCATGCTGTCCGTGGATTATGTTTAATGTTCCATCTGGAGCGCCGGCGTCCTGCAGCAGTTTGGCCAGCAACATGGTGCAGCCAGGCACTCTCTCTGAGGGCTTCATTAAATAGGTGTTCCCGCACACCATGCCCATTGGGAACATCCACAGAGGAATCATGGCCGGGAAATTGAACGGGGCGATACCGGCACATACGCCAATGGGCAACCGGTATGTGTACGTGTCCATGTCTTTAGTGATAGAGGGGAGGGTCTCACCCAGCATAAGAGATGTGATACCACAGGTGTGCTCCACCACCTCTGCAAGATCAACAAACACAGAGTAAATAATGTGACGGCACACAAACAAAATGTGCACACAGATATGAGGCTAAAGGCTTTCTTTGGCCCTAACAGCCAACAACACCTCATCTATAGCACTAAAAATGGAATATCACAGGTTTTTTTTTTAAACATTATGACTATTATGTCATGTGATATGTTGTCAGTTTTATTTCTCAGTGTGTATAACAGAAAAGGAAACATCTTTATAGTAAATGTACTTGTGATGGAAGCTTAGCAGGAAAGCATCAGGAAGGTTTAGAAGCAGAAATGAGAAGCTTACACTATCGTTCAAAAGGTTTGGGGTCGGTAAACATTTGTTTTAATGCTTTTGAAAGAATTACCTTAAGCTTCATCCAAAAATAAAGTATTAATTGTCCTTTAAGTTGGGAGTGCTTTGTTAGACAGGGAAACTTATGTAAAATAAGTCCTGAAGACTTGATTAGCTGGTTCAGGTGTGTTTCATTTGGGTTTGCGATCGATGTGCATTCACACCATGTTGTAAATCGTAACGATTCTGAACTGTAAAAAGCCTTCACATGCTTGTAGAACTTGTAATTAATAATGGTCATTAGGTTGAAAATAACACCCAATATTCATTTTAATGTTCTACAGACTTTACTAAAACATTCACAGGAATTAACTAACAGAGATTTTACTCATGAATTGTCACAAGAGACTCACGCAGTCCTCTGAACACATCGCCCTCAGCATCAGCCAGGGTTTTGCCCTGCTCCAGGGTTATCAACTTGGCCAGCTCTTTCTGAAACGCAAATCAAATCACATATTATACATTTAGCAGGCAGTAGGGCAGAACGATTCACCAAAATAATAAATCACAATATCCTCCCCCCTCATGCAGCCTTTGTAGACAGTGTTTTGGTTTTTTCAAAGCTCTAGATTTCAATTATTCACATTACAAATCAATAAAGGACTATTAATTGTCACTATCAGTAACCATTTGCATAATTCAATTAAGGCGAGACACTACAGGTGAATAGGGTAATTTTTTTAACTAGCAGATATCACCATGAATCTTTCCCAGTTGATTACCTACATTAAGATGAGAAAAAAATGTATTACAAGTTTTCTGTAATTTAATGTTTAAATATGCAAATTAGGCATTATCTAATTAAATATGCGCTAATTTGCGTACATTTAAAAAAACGAAATCTGAGTATGATTGGATAAAGCCAGGTTCAAAATTCTTTTTTCATTGTTCACATATTAGATGGGAAAAAATTACAGAGAGATTTATGGATATCTACTTTTGTTATCCTATAAATCAGAATATACTGTCAATAGTGAAAGAAAAAATGACGTAGATGTCGAAGATCTCAAAAATGAAGTTTATTACAGCATAGCAGTGGCAAGGGACACGAAGCACCTTGGGTTCACTGGCGTCAGAATGAACCCCGAACTCATCCCAGCGTAAACATTTTATACCGTCTTACATCTGTCTTTCCCCTCAGCATGTAAATGAAGCTCTCTCTTAAATGTAAATTGAGAATAACAAATTCGTCTTCTCTCTCAGCGTGGAGCTGAAACTCTATCTTAAATGTAAATTGAAGAGAACTAAAAGTGGTACCTCTGTGTCCATGTCTTTGATCTTCTTTCAAATAAGAACGGCCAAATGTTTAAGGTGATAACATCTCTTTGAAGCTCCCTAATCAAGATGGTTCTTGAATACGCGCTGTCATTCCCACGCTATAGGTAATAAACGTGACTCTGTGATACTTTTAAGATTGTAAGGAATTAATTCTATGATAAATAAGCTCTTTTAAGTGAAGGAACATTTCAATACATCTATATTGGAGTGGAAGTTGGATCGGAGCAGACTATAATTTCTTACAATAGCCTTAAAAAAATGATTTTCGCCATGTTTTTTGGAATAAAATGTATAAATATATAAATCAGGCTAGGAATAATATATTTACAAATCCCTCCGTAAATGTCTCATAATATAACTAGGTACAAGACTGGAAAGTTTGGTGTATATCGGTGCTACTGAAGTGGAGATTTTGGACTTGGAATGTGAGAGAAAAGTCATTTTGAGAAAACAGGCTTTAAAGATTTGGCATCAGCCAATGAGATTGCGCATTTAGAGTTAAATCCCCCCTTTTACTTTCACGATTGGTTGCTGATAAAAAGGAAATGACCATATTTGGATCCGACAGCATTGTACAGGAGAGAGAGAGCTTTCTAACGGTGTGTGTGATGACAGGGTGCAGATCGCGATCGCGGAGCAACGGATGATTTACAACGCCAACTTTTGATGAATATATGAGAAATCTACAGACGCAAACAGACGAAGTGTCGTAAAATAAAGACTTAAATGTGTATTTTGGACTTTTTTTCACCACAAGTCTGAAAGAAGACATGTTATTGAAGACAAATATCCTAAAATCTCAAAATTGACAAGTAAAAAAAAAAAACGATGTTTTTGCCTGCCGTGTCTCGCCTTAAAGTGTTAGTTCACCCAAAAATGAAAATTATGTCATTAATGATTCACCCTCATGTCGTTCCAAGCCCGTAAGACCTCCGTTCATCTTCGGAACACAGTTTAAGATATTTTAGATTTAGTCCGAGAGCTTTCTGTCCCTCCATTGAAAATGTATGTACGGTATACTGTCCTTATCCAGAAAGGCAATAAAGACATCATCAAAGTAGTCCATGTGACATCAGTGGGTTAGTTAGAATGTTTTGAAGCATCGAAAATACATTTTGGTCCAAAAATAAGAAAAACTACGACTTTATTCAGCATTGCATTGTCTTCTGGTTCTGTTGTGGATCCGCGTTCAGTGACGCTGCTGACGTAAGACGCTGCTGACGTGTGTCTGGTGTAAAATAAAGTCGTAGTTTTTGTTATTTTTGGACCAAAATGTATTTTCGATGCTTCAAAAAATTCTAACTAACCCACTGATGTCACATGGACTACTTTGATGATGTCTTTATTGCCTTTCTGGACAAGGACAGTATACCGTACATACATTTTCAATGGAGGGACAGAAAGGTCTCGGACTAAATCTAAAATATCTTAAACTGTGTTCCGAAGATGAACGGAGGTCTTACGGGCTTGGGACGACATGAGGGTGAGTCATTAATGACATAATTTTCATTTTTGGGTGAACTATCCCTTTAAACTATAATCCAGTTACTGAAAACAAACCAAAAGCAAAACAAAGGGGTTGAGGATGAGCAGCAGTCACTTACAATATTGTCTTTAATGAGCTGCTGATAGCGAAGGAAGATCTGCTGGCGGGCCAGGATGGACGTTTCGGACCAGGTGTGGTACGCGCGTGAGCACGAGTCCGCGGCGGCCAACATCTCCTCTTGCGTGGCCTTAGGCACTCGACCAATGACCTCGTTGGTGGCCTGAGGAGAGCACGAGCATTATAATTTAATCACAGAGACATTGCGTCTATAAATAATGCTTTGTGCCCATTTTTCTGCAAAGTGCTGATACAGTTACAAAGGTTGTGCTTTCTTGCGGTTACAAATATTAACATAACATCGAAAAACAACTATTATTTTCTAACACGAGATTCACTCATAGATAGCAATCGAATTATATCTGAATAATATCACATTAGAGCAGTTTTTTTTTGAGTTTCTAGAATATAGAGTGTAAATGCAGAGTGAAGAAACAAAAAAGCAATTATTATTAGCATCTGTTTTCTATGGTGTAAAGCAGATTAGACTAAAGCTCAAGAACCTGGCTAAGCTTAACGGTTCCCCTGTTGCTCCGTCTGCACATTGGTAATACTCAGTGAATACTCCTTATCAAAACCATGAAAACACCAAACAATATCAGTGAATCTGTAGTATATACTGACTGCTGGTATAACTAAGTAGTGCAGGTGCAGTGTAGTTTAGTCACATGTGATTAAAACACATGCATCTAATAGGTTTTAACTTGGCCTAAGTGTGCTCAAGAATGTAATCCGTTAAACTGGTGTAGTACATCATCTCTTCCAGTGTAAATTCAGCAAAAGCATTAGACGTCTGCTAGTACAGTATGAACTTACAGGATTGTGAATGTCCAACCATTCTGGACTCTTGGATTCTACAAATTTTCCATCAATGAACAACTTGGTGGTAGGCTGAGGAAGGACACAGAGAAAAGCATGTGTAAAAAGCAAACATAAAACACAACTCATAAACACAAACACATATAAAAATAATGGTTTGATGCAGCAACACTAGTATGTTTTGCTTGGTTTGTTTTTAAGTGAGAGATGAGAAAATAGCTTAAGGCTGGAATACACTACATGACTTTTGACCAAGTTTTTGGGTAACATGATTTCGATGGTCCACTTTAGACATTCTACAAACTATCAGTAACTTTGCATCTACATGTCAACTATCAGTCATTAGAGTATTAATAGACTGTCTGCTTAATATCTGCCAACTCTTTATTTAGATGCTCCCCAACAGACATTATACTCACTTTAAATAACTTAAAAAGCAAATACATATTCTACTAACCCGAACCTAACAATATACTAATACTCTAATTAGAGTTAGTTGACATGTACAGTAGTTGCAAATTACTTTCAAAGTTAGTAGAATGTCTAAAGTGGACCAACAAAATAAAGTGTAACCAATTTCTGATTTATTTACAGTCTGGAGGACTTGATGCTAGTTGCTGAAAGTCAGAGTCAGTCTACAGATCTGAGTTGATTGATTTCACAGGTAATCGCTCAGACTTTGACTTTATAACTTGACTATGATTCCATCCAGCCGAAGGATATCAAACATTTTGATATTTGAAGCTGATGTTAGATTTGTCATGCATCAGCAAGCAACGAAACGCATGTTTCTGCATGAGTTGGGTTTGAACGTCTTCAAAGTCTGGAGTGTGTGATCCTCAGTCGTCCAGTTTTTCTCTGTAATCACTTACAGCAAGTGTATGATGCCTAGTGTTTTAAAATCTTAATTCATCTACACTCTTAGAAATAAAGGTTCTTTATTGGCACTTACATCCACAAAAACAAAATGTTCTTTATTGTGGCAAAAACATGTCTTTAGATTTTTTTAAATGTTCTTCACACTAAAAAAATTTCTCTTCTATTGCATCACTAAAAAATACCCTTTTGGAAGCTTTATTTTTAAGAGCGTACTGTAGTGTATTCCAGCCTTTACACATAAAAAGACTACTTAGTGTTATTCCTCTCAATAGAGGGAAATAAAAGCCTAGAATGAAAGACACTGTCAGATCTGAGTCATACAGTGTTAGTTAGTACAAGGTTGAGTACTAACTAACACTAACTTCTAAAATGCTGAGGCAAAGTTTCATTTGATGTTTACATTGTCTAAAGGTTAAAGGCTTATGGAACACTACTATAGGTTGAGGACCTAGAACAATAAGATAGATATATGAGCAATATTTCCACAATCAAATTGCCTGCTTGGCTTTCATGGTCGCTACTTTTAGACTGCAATGCATTTGACATATTTGACAAACGTTCAATAAATCCACTTGTTTCTTTTGAGCCCAAACACCCTTTGCACAGATATGTGCTCACATCCCCAATGAACTTACCACAGAGGAGGAGGAGTAGCACATGCGTCCCATCTGAAGAGGAACCTGCAGAACAGTATTTAATTAATTTACATTATTGTCTCTGGGAAGATAACTTCATTTGATAATGTCAGTCAGTATATTAAACCTCATATACAGTAAAACCGCAGTGCACCTCTCTTACACTTAACCTGATTCATAGAAAGCACAGATCAGCATTGCAAAAAAAACTAATGGGTTATGTTATGTAGCTTTTAATCAATGTGGATATGCAAATATCTCTCTTTAAATACAGAGAAGCTGCTTTTCTGCAGCAAATATGATTGATTTTGACTCACTGTAGCTCAAACTTAAACAAGGACTAATGCATGAAGTCAAATGCTTTCTAGAACTGTGATAACACGAGTAGCACTTAGCGCATATGAACTTAGTGAACTGTTGCGAAATTATATTATTTGATAATAATAAAGGTCATAACTTTGTGGCGATTAGGCGACAAACTTCTTGCAATTTTTAGTGCATTATATTTAGAACTGCTTTCAGGGTGGCTACAAAGTATAACGTTATGCTCGTGGTGTTTGACCGCTAACTTGATGTTACGTAACGTCAAACTCATACTACTTGCATGGTTGTAAAAAAAAAATGCAATGCTTTTTGTGTTTCTTACCCTCTTCTTTACAAGGGAACGCATTAATGTCGCTGCCATGATGGAATTCGTAGATTATTGTTGTATTCACCCCCCTAATGTGCGTCCAACCCCCGCCAGAGGACGTGTTGTGCGCCGAGACTTGCAGCCTGCAGAGGAATCGCCTTTCCTACTGTAACTTTAAGAATGGGCGGGATATAGTCTTCAAATAGCCAATTATATGCCGAATCCAAATCCTCCCCCCAAATTCATGAAATCTATTGGTTAGACGTGTAAGATGATTCACCAATAGCAGTGCGCGTTTGTTGAGAGGCGTTTCTTTGATGACGCACACAAAGATCATAGGCTAGAGCTCCGTTGACTAGAAAGTGATAGGGTATTAAACCTGTCAATTAATTGCATTAAAGAAAGACATGTGACACATTTACGTGATACGACATTTTTTTTTAACTACGTTATTTTTAATCTTCATTTTTGATACATTTTATTTACTCCACGCCATTTTGCTCGATGAAGTATTTTCTATTCCGAGGGCAAAATCAAATAAATGCATTGTTTTGAACTACAATGTGCATCGAGGAGTCTGAATCGTTTTAGGATTCGGTTCGTTCGAACGGTTAATTTTTAATATTTAAAAACGAATATTTCGTTTTCGTTTTTAAATACTTAAAATTTAAGTATTTAAATGTTTAGTTGTTTTTTAGTTATTTTTTTATTTTATTTTAAATAAAAAAAATAAAAAATTTAAATTTTTAAATTTTTATTTTATTATGTTTGTTTGTTATTGTTCAAACACTTTTGTTAAAATTATTGCTAACACAAATAAGAATATGACTTCCAATATAAGAAATAATAATGGTCTGTTTTTAATAAAAATATTTAATATGAATGGTTCCAATAATCGTTTCACAGTTTTGTTCCCACATTTCTTTTTATTCCTAAAGAAAAGTCCTCTTAAAAGGTTCGCGAATCGGTTCGACTGATTCCTCAAAATATGACTTCCAATATAAGAAATAATATTGTTGATTTTTTTTATATATATATTTCATAGGAATGATTCCAAAAATCGTTAACAGTAAACATTATTTGTTTTTTAATCATCCTAAACGGTTCACGAATCGGTTAGACTGAATCCTCAAAAAGAATCGGTTCATAAGAAGGACTGTTTGTGAACCCACCCAGCATCAATAAATGATTCTCAAACAAAGTCCTTTCTTTTCAGGGACCAACAATCTGAGTGCATCAGCTGCACGTGTAATCAAGGTAAACGCACAAATCCCGTATGCTTGGATGAACATTGCAGATGAGAGATGATAGACATCTAAACGCACACACATTTCCAGATGTCTTCCGAAGTCCAGTGAAGTTGCTGCTTAGTCACAAAAGCCTCAGCCAGGAGGAGGATTTTTGGTGCTGCATCTCATTGGTTGACCAAGTAGTAGTAGTTTTTTTTCTTGTGTAGTTTCAGTAGTTGCAGAACAGATATATGAATACCATGGAGACACAAGCGAAGGTTTAAATACGTTGTTGCTTATCTTAAATTAAGTTCTTGTTTCTAATACATTATTTGACTGCTTTGTTTTTTAATGTTCTAGCCTGTTCTTTATGGATACTATAGGAGTTCTTGCTCTTGGAGAGTCCGGATAGGTGAGTTTTGAAGACATCAGTTCATTCTATTACTTGAATCTATTTCTGCATATTTCAATGTTAGTTTACTCTAATGTGTTTTTAAATATTCCTAGCGTTTGCGTTGAAAGGCATTGAATATGAGCAGAAACCAGTAAATCTCATCAAGGATGGCGGGCAACAGGTATACTGCAGAAATCTCTGCTCTGGATTGTTGATATTTATCTAACATTATCTATACAGGGGCTTTCAAACTGGGGTCCGGGGACTGCAAAGGGAGTGCTAGGTGGAGAATTTTAGAGAGAGAGAAAAATGTAAAAATAAAGATTAAAAGAATTAAATAAATATATTCAAATGAAGAAATTAAAATTGAATTAATAGTTAAGATTAATATAGATTAGATGTGTTTTAAATAAATATGTAAATGTTGGAAATTAGATTCAGTTTTAGGATGGGGCTCCCTCACGAGGATGATCATATGGGGGTCCTTGGCCTCTAAAAGATTGAAAGCCTCTGATCTATTACATTCCATGTTGGCACTAACTCAATTCTCTTAACTGAGTAATCTTCTTCACAAGCTCACAGATCAGTTTAAGGCAATAAATCCAATGAAGCAAGTCCCTGCAGTCACCATCGATGGCATCACCTTGTCTCAGTCGGTAAGAACATGGATTCTCCTGCTTTGTAGCACACAGAAATGATATAATTTCATGTTAACATTGATTTGTTATTTAACAACACAGTTGGCCATTATCCAGTACATCGAGGAAACTCGGCCACAGCCCCGCCTCCTGCCTGCAGACCCAAAACAGCGAGCTCACGTCCGCATCATTTGTGACATCATCGCATCAGGGATCCAGCCCCTCCAGGTGAGTGTGAGTGTGTGAGACATGACATCATTTTTAAAGTCGCTAAGAAATGGACGTTTTTCTTCCCGGTTGTGAAGTATGTCTGAGTGAAATGCCTTTTTGAACAAGGCGGGGCTTGATTTTGTTTGTGGGAAATTGATTGGATGGTTGTGGTTTGTTATTGCTGTGATGTCATGTGAGTGACAGGTTGATCCCGCCCTCACGCCAGTAAACGTGTCATCAGAGAACAGAAGAGATGCTGGGAGGGAAAGTTATTTTGATGAAAGATTATGAGGGTACATGAATAAATAAATAAAAATGATGTGGATGGATAAATCATTCATTATAAATACTGCAATATTCCATAGAAAAATAAAAATGGTCCATTTTGATTTCAGTGACTTTAAAGGTGCACATTTGTAAAAAAAAAAAAATAATAAAATAAAAAAATAAAGAGAGCCCAACCCCAAATCCCTATAATATTTCCATCACTACCAGGTCGCTTCTTTAAAGGGATACTCCACATTTTTTGGAAATAGGCTCATTTTACAACTCCCTCAGAGTTAAACAGTTGAGTTTTACCATTTTCGAATCCATTCAACCGATTTCCTGATATTTAGAAGAATATCAGTAACCAGAAAAAAATGGTAAAACTCAACAGTTTAACTCTGAGGGAGTTGTAAAATGAGCCTATTTCCAAAACAAGTGGAGTATCCCTTTAACAAAAAGTTTCCGCTCATTTTATCATCTGTGAGGTAAAAATCATGTCCAATCACATAGAAAAGTAAACATTAGTCCTCTACAAGCGAATCTTGCATCAGTGCTTTATTTAGAGAATGTCAGTCAAACATTACATTAAAAACCTCGGAGACCCATTATTTTTAATGATGCTGTATTTCAGAATCTGTACGTGATTCAGAAGATTGGAGCAGAGAAGGTACAGTGGGCTCAACATTTCATCAACCGAGGATTCGAGGGTGAGTTTTTTTCATTAAGGACTTTTAAATGCAGTGACATCTTGCTGTCATATAAACCGTCAGGTTATTTGTTTTTATCTTTGATCCAATTACTGTCCTAACATGCTAACTAATTGCTTTAATTGTATAATGGAATGTTATTGTGTGTGTTATTTGAAGCTCTGGAGCCTATCCTGAAGCAGACAGCAGGAAAATACTGTGTGGGGGATGAGGTAATAATACTTTACCAAATGTAATCAAAAGAAATCGCAGTATATTATATATTCAAATCTTTGGGGTTGGTAAGATTTTTAATGTTTTTGTAAGAAGTCTCTTATGCTCACCAAGGCTGCATTTATTTGATTAAAAATACTGTAAAACCCATAATATTGTGACATATTATTACAATTTAAAATTTGAAATGGTTTAATATAATTTATCCTAGCTGAATCAAAGTATTATTATTATTTTTTAATCTTACAGACCCCACACTTTTAAACAGTGATGTATGAGAATTATAAATTCAACTATAATGTGCTTTGATATCATGGCGTTATTACACTGTTCATCCTCTAGATATCCATGGCAGATATTTGTCTTGTGCCTCAAGTCTACAACGCTGAAAGGTAAAACATGTCTCTTTAAAGCTAACATCATAGAGTGCAGCGGTCGGTAAAAACTCCATTCAGTTTCTCCATAGGGAAAATGATTTTTAATGATAAATTATAAACCTTTAAAGACAGCCCTATATTGTGAGCGACTATTTCCTTCTGCCGAAGCTGTTGGCCTGCATTATTTCAACTTAGTTTTAAAATAATCATGTTTAACAGCAGAATTCGTGGTGAAAAACTACAGTAACTATGATGCTGTACAGAAAATTCCTCCAATCAGACAGTTGAAACAAGCAAAACGTACCAGAAGAACTCTTTCCCATGAAGCACTGCGAAAGAATGACAAACCTCTTTAAAAGTCTTCCTACGCTCTCAAAATACTTATATTTACAAATAATATAAATAAATAAATATTTGAATATATATATAAATACATATTTTGCAATGAATGTAAAATATATTGTATATATATATATATATATATATAGTGGCATTTTGAAATTATGTGGCAATCTTAATTTTTTTTATAAATCAAACATAAATTCATGTCCCAGTTACATTGAATGTTGTCAAATTTTCCTGGTTAAACATTACATTCAAAAGAGACCAAATACAATTCTGTTTTGTATTTTTACATTGACACTGTTATTAATGCTTATTTATTAAAACCAAGTATAAATCTCAAGTTAGTGCTTTTAAGCATTACTACATCTAACATAATAACTAAAGGCAGTAACAATTTAAACATTTTATTTGTGAACTAATGTTCATCTAGCTCAGTAAACACTGCTCACAGACGAAGATGGACCTTTAATTTCCCCCAGCTGATTGATCATGTTTCATGGGATTGTAGTTCTTTACCTCACTAAAGCTGTTAAAACTATCTTGTACCTGTCTTTTTATCCGATTATCAGTTTTTTTTGTTGTTGCTTCAAATCAAAGTGTGTAATGTTTCTTATTCAACTCGTAGCTGATGGACTTAGATCATGGCGCCTTATCGAAGATTTTTTTTAAATCCCTATGGAAGAAATTAATGGAAAAAAATACTTCCTGGACCAATGCCAGTTAAAAAGGTTTATGCTAAACAAACACTAATGTAAATTCTACCATCCTTTAGGTTCAAGGTGGATATGTCCCAGTTCCCTACTATCAGACGATTGAACCAGACCTTAATCGAGATCGATGCTTTCGAAGTCAGTCATCCATCACATCAACCTGATACGCCTGATGATTTGTAGGCATAACTTTCTAATGATCCATAATGAAATCAATAAATCGCTTTGATGAACAGTTGTGAGACTCTTCATTAAAAAGTTAAGACAGTTCAGATTCTTTTTTTCGCAAAGTACTGCATTTATTGCTTTGGTGAAAAGTCTAGATTTGCTTTTAGTAACTTTCAGACATCCATGAACAAGAGATGAGCTGCACATGCCAGTGACTCAAAGGAAAAAGTGAGAGTACAACGTCAAACGTACAAAGTGGACAAAAATACAAACGATGAAAACGTGTAAAATACGTGCAAAATAAGAGAAAACATTTATTGCACAAAAATACATCGAGTCTCTGAATGTACTGTACTAAACACAAACCTGAACTACACATGTAAGTGAGAGTGAAGCCTTTGCTTGCTTTGAAGGAGATTATAAAAACAGTAGCTGTAAAACAGCTGTTCATGCTAAAACTGCAACAATGCAACGTTTAAAAAAAACAAACGATAAAAGTGCTTCTTGTATTCCAATTTTTTACATTGGGTTCCTGTAAAACCCTACATTCATTTCTCAGAAGAAAAACAAATCATGTAGTCCCTGATCCTAAACACGGAGTTCAACCGTGCATTTAATGGTGTCATTATAAAATGTTCCTGAACAGTCGGACCCTCCGAACACTAGGATGTTACACTGGAGAGAGAGGCTGTTGCCATGACGCTGATCCCTCGGGTCTGAAGATGAAGCCTTTGTACAAGCCAGGCTTATCAGACTGTGGCCTGCGCGAGGCTTAGAGCAAAGCAATGGGGACACCACTGATGTCCAGGAGCTGGTATCTGCAAACACGCATCCTTTCAGACTAATAACGGTAAAGCCTTGTAAAGAACCAATCAATGATCTGGGACATTTTGCTTTGAGACCATCTATATTCAGGGGTATTCAATTAAAGTCACAAGAGGTCCGGCGGAGATCTGGACAATACTTTTTTGAAATATTTATATATATATATATATATATATATATATATATATATTTCCATCTGGGCATCAGTATTACTTTAAGTCTGCTGGCAAAAAGAGAATGTGACAGAGCTCGTAATAAAACAAGAATCAACATTGGCTTGGCTTTTCAGAGATGGCGAGAAGTGAGGGAAATTATTGAACAGATAAATTGCCATATGTAGCTCTCTAACAGAGTTGATTGTAAAGCATTATGTAATGTGAGGGGGCATTTCATTATGGTTGTAGCTTTGAGCTGGAATTTATTTTCAAGGAAGTATCGTGTTTATTAATGGGTAAAAGCTGCAGTATCAGCTTTAGTATCGTCTTCAGCTAGTCAGCTTGAGATCCTCTCCATCTAAACTGATTCTATCTTTTAAGCCTAGTAGTGAATGTTTTATGAGCGGTACAAAAAACATATTCATCCGCATAGTCACGAAAGTACAAACAAAAAATTTTTAACAATAAAGTTTTTTTTTAACCGCTATAGCGTACCTTTAAAAAAAAAAAAAAAAGCCCATCAGCATAATTTTAAAACCAATTCACAAGTTGGTTGGTACTTTAAGGTATTTAAACTTTAATTAGATATACACTGCCCAGCCAAAACAAAGTCGCTGTTTGGATTTAAATATGCAAATGCTTAAGAGTCTATGATTGGATCAGTATTGCAGGGATTATGATGTTTCTAGCATGTTATATGTTTGGCAACAGTTCTTCTAACCCTAATTGATGGAGTGTGTAGCTTTTCATTTCTTAAACAACCATGTAGGAAGACACATCATGGCCATATTCTAGGATGACAATGTCAAGATTCATCAGGCTCAAATTGTGAAAGAATGGTTGTGAGGAGCGTGAAGAATCATTTTCACACATGAATTGGCTCCTCTGAGTCCAGACCTTAAATTCATTGAAAGTCTTTGGGATGTGCTGGAGGAGACTTCACAGAGTGCTGGACTCTTGCATTGTCAAAACAAGATCTTGACTGAAGAGTCAACAGTCTGATCCAAACAGTGACTTTTTTTTGGCCGGGCAGTGTAGATATTTGTATAGTACTTCATGTAGTCAATTAGGGAATGACAAACCTATGTTAAAGAGATGGAGGTCCTGTAGGGCTCCTATAGCACTGCAGCCTCCGCTGATCAGCACCCTGTTGTCAGACACGGGTAGAGCAGCGTGAAACCTGCCCAGTTGAATCAGGTAGGAAAAATAAACTTCAGTCTTCACTTCAATACACATGCACAGCACACAAGCCTACTCAATGAAGAATTTCTAAATGCTTCAAAAAGGAATTTTACTTTAACTATCAACATATTGTAAAGTTCTTTAAAAATAAGTTGTGATGGTCTGAAGAGCATTCATAATTTAAAGTCTTACCCACGAGCCAATGGTGGCATGTTTTCGTACTTTACAGCAGTGTATTCCATGAAGCCTTTTCCACAAGAAAGAAAAGACTTAGTATTCGAGACAGGGATAATATGAACAACAGCAGACAGTGAATACCAGAAGATACCAATGTGCTCCAGGTCATTACCAAGATCCAGGATGTGAAGATCATTGAGGTAGGTGGCGGTTTTTCTCCCACCAAAAATGATCATCTTGTTGGACAGCAACGTGTTGGAGTGGCTGATATAAACAACAAACAATTAGACAAATTATAGTTCAAATAAATGGACTAAAATCTTAGGCTAAAAACTTAGTTCACCCCAAAAATGTAAATGCTGTCATTATTTACTCACCCTCAAGTTGCTCTAAACCTGTATGAGTTTCTTTCTTCTGTTGAAAACAAAAGATGATAATTTGAAGAATATTGGTAACCAGACATTGGTACTGGACGGGAGCCACTGATTTCCGTAGTATTTTTTTTTTTTCCTGCTATGGAAACCAATGACTACCGTCAACTGTCTGGTTACCAACATTCTTCAAAATATATTTTGTTTTCAACAGAAGAAAAACTCATACAGGTTTGGAACAACTTGAGAGTGAGTAAATGATGACAATTTAAATTTTTGGGTGAACTATCCCTTTAATTCAATATGGCGTCTAACCTGACTGAGGTCTATAGCAAATCTCATCAGCTTGATTGTTTATATCGCCGCAAAATATAAACTACATTATTGCCTAGCGATGTATTTTGCTGCTATATAAACAATCAGGCAGTTGAGATTTGCTATATACTGTTGTATATCGCTTTATGTGAGCATACTGTATGTGGAAAAAGTAAGAAATCAGACTGATCCAGTTCCCGTGGAAGCTTGTTTCCACCACAGAATGGAAAAAAAGGGGTTATTGGGACTTCTCAAATGCAATTGTGAGTTATAAAGTCAAAATAGCGAGAAATAAACTCTTTATCTCACAATTTTTCTTCATTTATTTCTCACTATTCAGACTTTATAACTTGTCATTTCAAGTTTATACCTTGCAATTCTGACTGTGACGTATGAATTGTAAGATACAAACTCGCTTTTGCAAGAAAATTACCTTTTTTTAAATGTTTTATTCCATGACGGAAACAAGCTTCCATAGGTTCCCAAGTCACTGAATGTTGTATGGACTACTTTTATGAAGATTAGGAAGATGGAAGAGGAAGAAAGAAAAAGAGAAAGTCAACTACTTACCCAAACCTGGGCAGAGGACGGTCACCCTCCACAATCGGTTGATACCACAGACCATGTTCTGGGTTGAAGATGTATAATGCGTTACTGCACTCCTTGCCTTCAGGACATCGGCTGGGCTGCATCCCTCCAAATACATACAACTCCTTCTTATAGACTGTGCCACTGTGGTATGCCAATGACGGGATATTTCCCTTTGCCTATCCGAACCCAAAAGTGACACACAGAATGCAGAAACCAAATGATCATGTTACACAAAACATACACAAATCCTAAATGAAATTACTGAAATAAATGATCTAATACTCACAGAAACAAGCTTCCACTTCCATGTTATAGTGTCCAGTACATAAATATCACTGTACCGCTGGCCGTCTCTCAGGCCACCGTACACATAGATGACTTTAGACTCAGGATCGAAGGTTGCAGAGTGACCTTGTGAGCTTGGTGGACTGACCTCAGATGATGCGACGTCCATGGGGAACCAGAAATCATTGTCTGAGAATTATTACCATTGAAAGGTATGTTAAAGGTACATTGCAGTTATTAGTATGAAACAATTTCATTTATTAAATAAATAAATATTTAAATAAGTATTAAATTATTTAATTGTATACAATAATATTTATAGGATTTATATAAAATTATATTAAAAAAATATATATATTCTCCAATTAATCTTAACCAAAGACATACTGTACGTAAAGAAAATATTTGAAATTCTTCCCTTTGTGGTAAGAAACTTATATAGTTAATTTAGAAATAAGTTATTAATTCTATATAATAATGCTTCCATAATAGTAATTACATAATGTATATTTGTAAAAAAAAATTTTTTTAAAAAGTAATGGAATTTCGATAGATTTACTGTGTAACGTACCAATCTCCAGTTTCCATATAGAGTCTTTACAATTGGCCTGGTCATCAGCCTCTCCACCAATCAGAACGGCCGTTTCAGGATCACTCAAACACATTGCGTGGCTCCAGCGCTTTGATGGACAGTCTGAGGAATAAATAAAACACTTTAGGGTTAGGGGTTTTGAGAATTTAATGTCATGTCAGCAGCTGAGGCCATTCTCATGGTCACTTTCTACCAATTACATGGGAATTGAAAAATAAAATAAAATCCAAAGATTAGAAAATTACATAGTTTTATTGTACTTTTTATGGGCAATAGCTTACCTTGGCAAACACCAGTAATTATTGACAGTTAAACATACATATGTCATTTTCTTTTCAAAATGTCAACATATTATAATATTTCACCCATTTGGGTTCTCAATGTGATACAAAAGAATTATATTTTATGTAATAAAAATATAAACTATGCCATCATTTCAATAGTTATATCAATAACCAATTCTGAAACTATCATGATGTAACATAAAAAATTCCAAGTGTGTAAATAACCATAAGTGATATTTAATTTGAGCAGAGGAATGAGCCTTTACCAGCCCTGCAACTCTTCACACGTTTGACCGTCGTCTCGTCCTCTAAATCTATCGCAGACATTTTACAAAGTTTGCGTTTCTTCAGGCTTGAAACTAGGTTTGGATCCCAAGGGCTTTCCGGTTCTTCAGAACTCCAAACATTCCCCTTTATTCCTATAATGGAGCGTCTTGGAGTTTTATCCTTCAAAACCACACAAAGACACAGTAAGTTGAAACATTTGAGACTCTCTCGCTGCCTGGAGATGATCTACTTGCTGAAGAACTAGTTTGTGGATGACTCCTTCCTTACCATTGGCCACACACCCTGAACACTGAGTAGAGCGTTTTCCCGTGTCTCCGTTTTGCTTTGGCCCAGCTCCGCACAGCTGACGCTTCCCTCGGGAGGTGATCTCTGGGTGATCTTCACAGAAACACAAGTAGTCATTCTTTTGTGTCATGTCTCAAGATGTTTTTATAAACCGTATGTCTAAAAATTGTGAAATCTGATGACTGGTTCGGTTAGAAATGACCTTGTAATCCACTGACGAACAATGAATGGATCATTTCTCTTAAGTCTTCAGTAAAGCGTGACTCACATCATGACTCTCTCCGCTGCTGAGAAGGGTGCTGGAGAGATTGGAGGAGTGGTTCAGCGCTAGACGTTTCCTCCTCACTCGTGGAGTGCTGCTGATAAAACTGGAGCTCACCTTCAAATAGGGCTGGGCGATATGGCCAAAAATATCATACGATATCCATATGCATCACGATATTCATTTACCTTTAACCCTAAAATGCATACCTTGGGTCTTAAGTGGCCCGGGACGTCATTCACTACCCTTCTCCTCCTCATTCATTTTTTAAAGTTAGACATCAACCTTCTTAATATTTGTCAATCAATTTAATAATAAACAATATAATGTCACGTGTGTGGGTTTGTGTATCAGACGAAACCGCACCGTTCATTCACGCAGAAATCACGTATTAGCGACATGCACTGACTGGCTTTTGTCATGTTTATTTCTGCTGTGTGATTGGCTGTTAGATGAATCCATATCGAGTAAAAATGTCCAGACCTCATCATCGTTTTCGACGTAAATTTGATCATGATCTCGACATATTGTTTATATTAGTATATGGTTAACAACATCTAAGAAGTTTGTAAAGGATGGACGAGAAAGGCAAAAAACAGGACAATCGGCATCAGTGAGAGAAGAGGTTGAAATACCTGTCCAGTGATGCGGAGCAAGACTTTGGCATAAACTCCTCTCCTGCCTCTGTGTTTGGCTTCAGTGAGGAGTTCAGGAGTCCAAACCCCTTGCCAGATCAGACACCTTCACAGATAAAGTGTCCCAGACAAAACGTATTATTAGTTAGCTTTTATTTTCAAAATTTCAGTTTTCATTTGAAGTTTTAGAAAATGTGTGTGCTTTTGTCAATTGCATTATTTTTGTTGTTGGTTATATTTCTATGTAGCTAGACATTTTTTTTCTTCAGTTTTAGTCATTTTAGAACCATTACACTTAGTTTCCATGGCCAAGTTGCCACGTTTTTTTTAGTGTCATAAGTTACGTTTTTCATCTGATTTTTTTACATTTTATTTACATTTACATTTAGTCATTTAGCAGACGCTTTTATCCAAAGCGACTTACAACTGAGGACTAAACCAAGCGAGTCATCGTGAAGAGACAAAAACAACGCAAGAAGTGCTCAAAATACAAAGTTCAGACATTGCTCGGAGTAGCATAAGCCAGATAAGCAAGGATTTAAAGGAAAAGGAAAGAATTTTTTTTTTTTTTTTTGCTATGCTAAGTGCTCACGGAAGAGATGAGTTTTCAGTTGTCTTTTGAATGCTGTCAGGGATTCTGCATATTTCACCTCCATTTCATTTACCGAAAACAATTTGTAATAGTTCTAACAATAACATCGGGATGGGAATATGAGAATCTTCACTGTACTTGCCCGGAGTGAGGTGAAAGAGTCCCGATGACCTGTGATTTGACCTCTGGACCCAGCAGAACCTCCACAGAGATCTCGGTGTCACTGGAGAAGGATGACCATTCCCCTAAACCAAATACTATCAGCTGCTTCGGTAAAGGTAACGGCATCTGAACCTGGTACATCATACGGTTGACATTTCTAAATGGGGTAAATAAATAAAAATAAAAAAGGTTTTCATACAGGGAGGTGTCACAAGGGCTAGATCCACAATTATACTAACTATAAATGCTTTGTTACTCTAGCAGTGTTTACATTGGTTTCAAAAACCATCTTGTTAATTATGACATTTTATTACAAAGTCCTAAACAAACATATCCATTTAAACTACACTGGCATACATTCAAAAACGTGTCAACTATATAATTAAAGTCGGCATACAGTAACAGAAGTTCTGATCGTCTTTTTTGTCCCTACTGTTTACTATATTCGAATGGGCGGGACTTGATTTTGTCCATGGGGAACTGATTTAATTGTTGGATGGTTGTGGTGTGATCATGTGATTGACAGGGATTTTTGATGTTGCTTTCTCCTATCCTCTGCTGAACACAAAAGATATTTTGAAGAATGTAACTTGATGGATCCCATTGACTTACATAGTACAGAAAAACAATACTATGGAAGTCAATGGGGCCCATCAATTGTTAGGTTACCTATATTCTTCTAAATATATTTTGTGTTCAGCAGAAAAGAGAAATTCATACAGGTTTGGAACAACTTGAGGATGACTAAATGACAGAATTTTCCTTTTTTTTGGTGAACATGGACATATCCAGCTACTCTTTTTGTAATAAAAAGATTTCTACCTTGAGAAATAAGCATTGCTGTAAAATTGTGATACCCTAAACCCCTTCGTGTTTGTTTAATTGCAACCTGCTGCATATAACACATTGATATTAGGTCATATAGTCAGTGGATCAAATGAAAGCGCCCACCGTATAAACTGACGAGGTGCTTCACGTAAGGACCAGACTGCATAAAAGTGAACTTTGCCCATTCTGTTGATTCAGATTCGGTCAAACTCCTCCAGTGCTCTCGGCGTGAGGCCTGCAAACACTCGATCACAGCAGCAGCCTATCACGCACAACCTCTGCTGTATTTATCACCTCCTGAGTCCTGTGCCTCACGCGCCACAGGTGTGACCGATCGGCGGATGACATCAGAGTAGGCCTACCGCGAGAGCAGACGGCTCCGTGTGCTTTCGAATCTCCTTTCGAAAAAAATAAAAAAATAAATTAAAATGTAAGTATAGCTAATGAATGAATAATCATAAATAGCTAAATAAATACAAAATCAAAAGTTTAGAAAAAAAATAAACAGGAGACCTAATTAATAACCTACAAAAAAGCCATAGGCCTAATACATTTTGTGAAAGTAAATAGCGAACAATCCTGAATAACAAAATAAATAAGAAAAACGTTTTAGAAAAAATAAAACCGGGACATAAGCCTATTTATTAAAAAATAATCGCGAATAACAACAACAACAACAACAAAAAAGATACAAAACTCAAAACATTTAATGAATGCAAGAATGATAATCTGGACCCAATTTTCACAAAATGTAATCCTGAAATAATTTATTTAAAAACATTTAATACAATACATGCTATTTTCTAGTGTTTTTGCCATTTTAATTTTTTAAATATTTATTTGAGTACCGTATATATATATGTATACATATATATATATATATATATATTAGTATTATTTCTACAATACAATAACAATGCACAACACTCAGTCATGATCAATTAACATTTCTTATACTGAAAATGTTTGATTATGGAGTGACAGCATAAATAAATACATTAAGATATGTCATTAAAAAGGAATAATCATTGACAGCTAAATAAATATTAAAAAGTTAAGAAATAATAAATACTGATACAAACACTCAGTGCTACATTTTGTGATAAATAAATTACCAACCCGCTGGCTCATGGTGATTTTCTCTAAATGTAATCCTGAATTAATTGATTTGTTTATAATTGTCCAAGTTATTTATTTATAAAAAGAGCAATTAGATATAATATTAATATCTGATGTATAATTATATTAAAGCATAATCAAACATGCTATTTTACATAAATATTCAAAAAATATAAACAAAGGCCTTGCAGAAAGTCGAATGATTTAAATTAGGATTGTAATGTTGTCTTTATTTCAGTCTAACAGCGCCCTCTATCTAAAATAAGAAAGAATGGCACTTCGTTCTAATGGTGATATGACTCAGTAGATTAACCTTTGTTTAAGGGGAAATGGTGCATGTGGTCGTTCAAGAACATACAAATTTTAATGCTGAAAAAGCACTTTTTATGGCTACTCTCACAAGGAAGCGCAGTGTATTATCAGAAGACCAGGAAGGAGCCATGAGTCTGGATATGTAACAGGCAGCAAACTGAATTCATCTCAACGTTTATTGTGAACAACACACAGTAAATGAAACAACGAACGAAAAAGGATGACAAACATATATCATATACATATCATACTAAAAGGTAGACTAGCAGAAAAGCACATTGGTAGCATAAAGTAGCCTACCTCAGCAGCACAATGCAACAGTCTCTTAAGACATGCAAATAATTTAAGGTAGAAAAAGAAATGTTTGCAGCGTGATTTGATATTCATAATCAAGAAGTCGTCAAGGAAACTTAACGCTATACCTCCTGGCAGCGCTTATCGAGACATATTGCGTGATATAAGCAAGAAAGCTCTTCCAATGAACTTATCTGAATCATGAAACCTATATAGGCTACTAGAAGCAGTTTTCTAGACACCTTGGAAAAGAGGCATAAATGTAATAAACGTCTTCAACAGGCCATCTGCATTGTGTCTATACAGACCTCAGAGACCGAACCGATGCCAAACAACCCTTAATCACGCCAGATGAGAGCCTGGGACGTGTAAATATTGGATCAGTTATGCAACAAATTAGCTTTTGTGGCAGGAAATGGTTTAAAGTTGCAAACAAGCAGTCTTTAACCATTTGGTGACTGATGTGATGGCCATCTTAGTAGAGTAAGCAACTGCAATAAAAACATATGAATATGAGGTTTCAAATACATCTTAACTAGCTGTGGTCTCCAGTGTCTTTGTGGCTGAGAAAACAAACTCAGTATTAGCAGTATGTAAGAAATAGTGTATGATGCTGCACAATGCAGGTCTATGTAATATTATATTAGACATAAAACAGCAAAAAACCAAACAAACACACAAGAAAAACGCGTATATCATTACCTGAATCAACAGTGACTTCTGCCAAGTCACCTACATTGACTTTCTCACCGTCTTTGTTTCCCTTTGAATTGTGTAGAATTGTTTGAAAAGCATTCGACCCGGTTCACCACCCATATACTTTCCCTGATTAGTTACTCTGTAGTCCCTGATATGTGATGCCACAGTTCTGTTGTGGTGTCAGACAATACAATTATAAAACATATATGGACCTTTTATATGAAATATATCATCTTGCACGTAACATCTTAAAGCCATATATATATATATATATTTTTTTTAAAGCAAGTTTTTGATCTATGATAGGGCTTGGATAAAACGAAAAGCACAAATCAACAATAGCAAGAATTATACAGTAATTGAATACATACGATGATTTTTTTTTAATAAGCACTTGATTCCTCAGGCACTGTAGTACACTCTGTAGTACAGAGTCTTATTCCGCCACAGCGAGTACGAGTTGTCAAACTTCAGCTGGTATGTGCCGTCTCCTGGGAACTCGTGGCTGCCGCCCTGCACTGCCAGATGACTGTCCTGACGGTACACAGGCAGGATCTCTCCCAAGTTCGAGTTGTTATTTGATTTAGAGCCCTTCTCCACATCTCCTGGAACCACAGGGCCTGTTTGACAAAACAATTGTCCATTTGTCACTGGAGTTTTCCTTATATGCATCTACTTATTTTAAGCCTTGTACAGTTTTGTAAAAGAAATCTTTTGGAAAGTCTCTTATGCTCACGGAGGCTGCATTTGTTTGATTAAAAATGCAGTTAAAACAGTAATATTTTGAAATATTATTACAATTTAAAATAACTATTTTCTATTTGAATATATTTTAAAATGTAATTTATTCCTGTGATGCGAAGCTGAATTTTCGGCATCATTAGTGTCACATGATCCTTCAGAAATTATTCTAATATGCTGATTTGATACTCAAAAAACATTTCTAATTATAGTCAATGTTAAAAAAAAATGCTGTGCTGCTTAATATTTTTGTGAAAACTGTGATCCAATTAGATTTTTTTTAAATGCTGTTCAAATACTAAAAAAAATTTACAATGTAAAATTGATAAATGTAATGAATCCTTGTTAAATAAAACAATTTTCTTACACTTACTGACCCCAAACTTTTGAACGATAGTGTATATAAATTATGAATGTATGCCTATACATTTTTTCTCATATAATAATAATATCAAATAATGAGATTTTTTTTTTGTGGGGTTGCTTAAAGGTGCAGTGTGTGATTTTTCGCAGCATCTATAGTGTTGAGGTTGTGAATTGCACCGGTGGCCGACAGGAAGTGATGTCATCGTCTGAGACAGCAGAGAGTAGCCAGTTAAACAATTCTTTACAAAGATACATTAAGAAATTATGTTTACTTTATTATTCAGTAAAACGATATGTTATTGCAAATATTATTGCGAATTCATCATTGTGTCAGTGTTTTATTCGCTGACTTTAGCTAGCTTCTTTGCACGAAGAACAACATAGTGACGAAACGCGCTCTGTAGTAGTTTGTCCGTTTAGGGCCACCGTAGAAACATGTCGGCACAAAATGTCTATTTCAATGTAAGGGTACCCGCGGTGTATGTAGATAGAAATGGCTCATTCTAAGGTAATAAAAACACAACGGTTCATTATGTAAGGTCTTTATACTGAAAACATAGTTATGCATATTATATTGCATTCCGGTCTACAAATCCTCCTAAATCACTAGTCACTAGTTGTCCAGTCCGGTTCTGTTCACACATCACAGGTTTTCAAAGAATGAGGTTGTGAGTAGGGATGGGCATCGTTAAGAAATTATCGATAACGATGCCATTGTCGAGTCTGCTTATCGATGCAATTCCTTATCGATTCCCATTTCGATTCCTGTACCATTCGCTGAACACTTACAGGGTGGCTTTGAGAGTTGTTGGCTTTGAATGTCTAATTTAAAGTGGTTTTAGAGAATGAAAACCAAGTGTGCAATATCTAGGGCCCTAATGAAATCAGTTTTATTTTTTTTCCAAATTCCGTTAAATTTTTTCCCAAATTCAGTTTTTTCCGTTTAAATTTTTGGGAATTCATTTTTTTTTACCCTTTACTGTTATTTTAGTCATAAAAAGAGTGTGCTTTTAAAGTTAATGATTAAAATGTATACAAATAAAATAGGAATGACCTTAAATTACAGACATTTACTGAGTAGCCTTTTCAGGACAAATACTGCATGATGCCACATGACACTGCACTCTTCAATGTTTTTACCAGCCACTTTCTTGTTTTTAACCGACAATGTGTAACTGCATGTGAAAATTAATACTACAAGAATACTTAAGCAGTTTATTTAATCTCAAGTCTCAATGAAATACTGACATTTTCTCTTTCTCTCACCCTCGGCCTCATCCACCTAATCTGTCATTTATTTTTGTTTTGATGATAATTTGAGCCAGCCTCCAAAAGTAAATAACCTGTCCTGTGATTTTTTCTCACACAACACTCTCCAGACACGGATTTATGAGCTATAGTATGTTGGTTGCCTTTACATTAGAATAATATTTAATATAATCTAGATATGAAATGGAATAAATAACATTCAATACAAAATTAATATGTCTCATATATTGAAATCAAGTTTTATGTGATAAAATATTTGCTTTGTTGTGCATTAGAACCACATCAGGCATTTAGTACAAAATAATTTATTGAAGCATCCAGATACTTCACCACGTGACAGCAGCTAGGCTCCTGATTGGTTAACGCGGCGCGAATTGACGCCAAAGTTCAGATTTTTCAACTCGGGCGGCCTACGCGAATTCGCGTCAAACGCGTGAATGCACAAAAGCACTCAATAAAATCATGCGCGCGGAACGCGAGACGCTCGAACTTGCCGCGCGAATGAGGCGTATTCGCATCTACCACGGCGCGCTCTACACCTCATTCGCGCCGCAGGAATTTTTTACGCGCGTAACGCGTCTTTGCATTGACTTAACAATGAAATCACTCGCGCCAGACGCTCTATTCTCGTCTGGTGTGAACGCACCATGATGTTTTCTCTGCAGACCTCTACGCCTGCGATGTAACGCCACATTTTTGTTTGAAGGTGTGCCTCCTCTAAAAGTGTCCGCCGTCCGGGTGAAACAGTATGCTATTTTTATTTACCCGCCACGGTGGCCGGTAGGTGAAGCGAGTTTACCCGCCACAACACAAAATCACCCGCATTTGGCTGGTGGCGGGTGCTAATTTCCATCCCTGGCCGCGACGCGGGAATGGATGGAACGGAACATTCGGAATCGTTAGTGAAATCGTTAACGTGTGGACGTGTACGATTCCGATGGATCGGAACGTTTGGAACCGGTTCCAAACCGGAACCTGGAACCGATTCCCAAGCCTAGTTGTGAGTCCTGAAAATTTACGGGTGCGAGTTAATAACCGTATTGTGTGTGAAGTAACCGTGTTAAGGACTCAAATACAGGACTTAACAGGGCAGGAAGTACTCTCTCACCTTCCAGCTCTTCATCTTCATCCTCATCGTCACTGGATTCACTAATGTGGACAGTAATGGCTCGGCTAGTGACCGGTGACCAGTCGAAGTAAACCCCAAATCCAATGTCATATCCATCTGTGGCAAACTCCCAGCACACTCGCTTGGCCTCAGGAACAATGGGTACATGGACGGTCATAATGTCTCCGCGATATACCGTCACCACGCTGTCCTTCTCTTGACGAAGCTTAGTCTTCAGCTCCTTCACTGCCACAGAGGTCCACGTGGAGGCCGGTTTCATCGGAGGAAGAGCTGCAAAGAGAGAAGTGACCGATCAATGAATATTCTTTCATTTAACACCTTGAGAATATTTGCACAGTAGTGCATGTATTCAAATCAGCTCAAAATCATAAGAAAACAAGAAAGTCTATTTTTATGATTAAGTTTTTTTTTTTTTTTTACATTGTGACAATTAAGCACATTTCCCACAAAATTCTCATTACCTGGATACTTTTTAAAGAAATAAACTAAACTATATGAACTGCATATATTATTGAAAATTTTTAATATTTTTGCATTTGAATTATTTAAATGTATACATTAATAAAAATAATTTCATTGCACAATGATGTTGCTGTATGACTGCGCATTGGTTCACCTGGCAACAACTTAATTATAAAACAATTTACTTAAATGCAAGACCTTAAATTGCTTATTGTTTTTATAAACTACACACAACAGCAATTTGATAAAGGCAAACTAATTTAAATAAACAATGATTTAATTTATTTTATTATTATCACCGCTGTTGTTTTTATAATAATACTAATAATTATTATTATTATTATCATTATCATTATTATTATAAGTAGCAACAGTAAGGTCATGGGTTCGATTCCCGGGGACTGCATTAACTAATTAAATGTATACCTTGCGTAATAGCCTATTACTGGTGTTATTGGCTAAGAAATACATAGCTTTCTTAATATTAATCCTGAGTATATAGGATATGTTTAAGATAAGGATAAGATAGGATATGTTTAATACAATATTTGCCTTCATATTTCAGTCATATTTTCTGCAAAGATATTTGTTTTACATTTACACCATGTTGATCACTTTAGGTGTGGAATAGAACTTTTTTAACCAGATGGTTAATAAATAGAATTTTACTTGAATCATATTGTAGTCGACCAGTTAAACATTAAAAAAAACAAAATCGAAATCGTGAATTGGTCAATCGTTTAAAAAAAAAAAAAAAAAATCTAGATTTTTGTTTTTGCCATATCGCCCAGCCCTATGGTAAGGGGTGTGATATTTCCGAAACATGCTGGAAGCGGTTGACCAATCACAACACACTGCTCCAGCTGACCAATCAGAGCACATGGCGCTTTCAAAAAGGAGGAGCTTCATTGAGACAGGAACTAAACAGAGCGTTACTGACGGACAATGTAAAAATGTGAAAAATAATTGCTGCGTCGCAATTCGCATACTATCCGTCCTAAATAGTATTCGAAAATAGAATTAGTACATCCCAAATCGTAGTATGTTGAAATGAGTGTTTCTACTATTTCCAGATCGAGAAGATCGATGCGCACTCTAATGGCTGATATTGCCCACAACCCATCGCGCGTTGGACGAGCATTCGGTTAGAACTCCAAACAAGCATGAAAAGTGTTAAAAAACTACAGACATGGAGGACGCGCGAGTCCGGCAGTTATGTAGAGAGGTCTAGATAAAGTGGTTTGAGTGATTAATTATCAGAATCTAACCTGACGAAAATGTATTTATTCAATGTTGGCTACATTATATTGCAACTGCAGCAGCATTGTGAACTTTTGTAAAGATACGTTTAGCCATTAACTTTTAAATGAATCATTATATTCAAATTTTAAACACATGAGGAGAGTCTCCACATGAAAAACCCACGACTGGCAGGTAAACGTGCGACAACATTTCTCTCCGAAACAGTAAGAAATTAAATTAGATTATGGAGGATTTTAACTGTGACGAGATGATTGACAGGGCAGTTTACGGTGACAGGATGCACGCGACAGAGCTGTCCGTTAAAGATGACGAAGTAGTATGTCCCAAAGCTTGCCCACTCTTTTGCTACACTCAAAAGTATGTACTTTTTCGTCACAAAAAGAGTACATACTTTTAGGGCGCAGTATAAGTAGGCGAATTGGGACGCAGCCAATGTGTTTTTAGAACATACAAGAATTAAAACCTATTCTAGTAGACCCCAAAAACAAACTCAAGACTTTGTAAAAGGGCATAATATGGCCTCTTTAAACAATAATGATGTGCACGAATAAATCATTTATAATAAAAACGTCAATATTCCATAAAAAAAAGAAAGAATTGTCCATTTTGATTGCATGGTGACTTTAGAAATTATATGTGTGGCATAGGTTATAAATGGCACACTACAAACATCATAAACATCTTTCTTTTTTCTGACAGCTTTGTTCTCGAGGGGCAATGATGAAACATAATGAGAAGTTTTCTGTGCTTAGCTTCACCTCTCTAATAGGGGATGTGCTAACCTTTTTTCTCCCCGGAGTGTGAAGTACTGCTCTCCTGTGTGTCACTCGCTTCTGCCTTCCCGAGAGATGCGCTGGGCTCCTATTGACAACAGCACAATACATACAATCATAAATACAAGAACAGCACTGAAGCTCACTTATTTATACACCGGACAGGCTTGAATGAATGCAATATACCTCAGTAGACTGTGGAGATTCTTTGTTATTGCTGTTATCGTCCATTTTGCTTTGGTTGTCCGGTTGGATCACTGTCTGGGAAAGGTCTGTGCTTTGAAGTCTTCAAAATGACAGTGGGAAGGATGAGGTTTAAATACCCTTGAACCCTAAAATAACAATTTTTTAAAACTCATATAAACATGCACAAACCTGTTTAAAGGGTTTGTTTCACAGTTTTTTGACGTTATACCAGGGAAAGAAGAAACAGACAGGGATGAGAGTCTAGATTGAAGCTCTGATGTCTCTAGTTTCTCCATCTCTAGAGTACAAAAAAACACGACATACATAAATCATCACATTCATCACAATTATACCTATTAAAAACTCACCTGAGTCAGGTAAGAGTTTTCAGCTGACGAACTGTCTTTCAATAAACTTCATTAAAAAATGAAACAAAATCTACAAGAACAAATAAAATTGGGTTTTTAACAATACATATAGACATCTGTCAAAATAAGTGACAGATGAACTACATTTTGTGCGTACTCGTCATTAACTGACATTTATACGAATCGCAGCAACAGTTTTGACACGTCGCGTAACTAAAGTGTAATTCGCCATTAAATCATCAATCTCAGCAGAAGACAAAAAACTGCATAAACCGCATTTGCATTCAAATCAAACCCACCGTATGTGGTAAACCCACACGTACAGTATTGTTTCATAATACATGTTCATGCTCTTACCTCCGGCGACCCTGTGATGCTGTAGAAGCAACAGTGTTGCTTGCTTGACAAATAACGTTTAACGCCCAGGAAGTCCGTTAATTTGTAAATACGTACTTGTGTGTGAAGGCAGAGGAGACAAGTCTTTTCTGGATGGCTGCCAGACACAGACAAAGATATAATAAAAGTCCTATGAAAAAATACTACTCTAAACAGTACATAAAAAGCTATGTTTGTTAGGAAATTTGAAAAGAAATGAAGAATTTACTGCATTAAATTGATTAAATGTGATATAATGTTTTAAATGATTTCTGTTTTTAATAAATACTGTTCTATTTATAAACTATATAAATAGTTATAGTTAGTATAGTTAAGTATATATTTATGCATAAATTATGTATATATATATATATATATATATATATATATATATATATATATATATATATATATATATGTATTCACACACACACACACACACACATATCGATTGGAATTGTGGCGTTCCATGTGAGCTGATATTTAGTAAACAGCTGTGACTGTATCCGCACTGTTTGTATCACTCTAAACAATTTCAGATTTTGATTAAAGATTACGAAGCCAAAAAATGTTTTGGTGTGGATTGACTTGCATGGATGAATTGTTCACCACAAAACGATCAATTTAGGCAAACAAAGTAAATATGGTCAATTTTGAATTCATGGGGACTTTAAAGCAATATCACAGAGTGCTGCATTACTGAATACCAGCATTACTGGTTCAGCTGTATACTGCCACACGTAATAGCAGCCAAGCTGATATTTAGCACTACAATAACTATGCTTATTTGACATTATAAAAAATATATTAATCTGTCATCCTTTTGTATCATTATTCGTAGTCACACTAACTTTTGCCACTGTAGTGGTTAAAAACAAGACTGCATGCATTTTGAGGAACAATAGTTTTGTTGTCCTGCGTGACTATATCGAATATGGTTTGATATGATAACCAGTTTAGATGGAAAAGATCTTAAGCTGAAGACATTACTGTAGACTTACCCATTACACACTTAAAAATAAATTCTAGCACAGCACTACAACAACCAAAATGAAATGACCCTTCACAGTAGATAATGATTTACAATGAACTCTGTTAGAGAGCTACATATGGCAATTTATCTGTTCAATAAAATACTTTACTCGCCTGTTGAGTAATAAAAAACACCATCTCCGCGTTGCAACATTTCAAATCCCTCAGTTCTCGCCATCTCTGAAAAGCCAAGCCAATGTTGTTGCTTGTTTTATTACAAGCTCTGTCACAATCCTTTTTTTGCTAGCAGAATCTCCTTTGTTTGGCGTTTGTTTAAACCGAGTGATTCCCCAGAGGTTCGAAATTTAGCGGCTCAATGTCAACCTTTCTCTGTCATTGTGACAACTAACCACACCATACACACGTCAAAGTAGCCGGAGAAAACCACATCGACAGGTCTAAAATATAAACACTTATAACAGGCTTCCCATAGTGAATCAGGGTAAGACAAAAACATGTTTTGGAAGAATGACTGATGATGTATTGCTTTATTTAAATTTAGTTAATTTTGTAAAAAAAAAAAATATATATTTATCTTACATTTATTTGACATTGGTAGCATTACATGTTTTGTGAGATAAGTGACCAGCTCTATTGTCAATATTTCCTTGATTTGCCTTTTTCTAGTTATCTTGGCACATTGAAATGTACTTGAAAATGTGGCCTTGTGTGTAAAACAGAAATATAGCAGTAATGCAGCAGGGATTCAGCTGAGCTGACATACTAACTTCTCCCCTGAGTTTAATTAGCACTTATTTTAGAGACTTACAAACATCTGCACATAACAGTTGGTTAATTATAAACAGATTGAACAGGAACACAGAAATGTACACTGACACTAAAATGTTGCACAATTTAATTGATTTGTCTCAGTGAACAAAATGACGTCCTATCCTTCTGCTGGGTTTGAAAATACATTGTAGTACATGACTGAAATGCAGTCTCGCAAACCTTTATTTCTCAACACCAAATCAGTCAATGGAGTATCTTTAGTTTGTGCGTCGACCAAATTGATCCACGGAAAAAGCCTGTAAAACAACAGAGACAACATGTTATGAACAAAATGATCAAACTTGGTTATATAATAGGTAGTCAATATGAATATGAATCAACTACTATGGAAAAGGGTTATTATTAAACTAAATGAATATTAGAAATGTTGCCTTGGCAATAAACTGAAATAAGTTGAATCACTAAAATTATTAACTGATAATGAATAAAAACTCAAATTAAACTAAAACTGAAATAAAAATAAATAGCAATATTAAAACAACAACAACAACAACAACAACAACAACAACAACGACTAAAATGACAAAAGCACATAATAAAATAACTCAAAATGAAACTAAAGTTAGCATGCAAGTTAAAAGTGTACAAATAAAAGCTACATTTAACTATAATTAAACTAAAATAACACAGAATTAAAAAAAAGAAGCTTTAGACTCACTCATCGGGTTTATTGGGATCAGATGCACTGGGTGGATTTACAAAACTGTGATAAGTAAATGTCTTTGTTGGAACAGCGGTCTCAAACAGCCCATTTAGCAGGAGAAGAGTCTTTCCGGACCCCAGTTTGGCAGCCGAGCACATGTTGAGGAGACCGTAGAGCACAGCTGATACCCATCTCTGATCCAGGAACAGGCCACCTTCAGCAAACACTCAACGTTTACTTAATGGACTCTTATAGCACACCATACCAGAACCACACTGTGTTGACTTCACATGACAGATGGACACAGACGTATTTTGAGGGGAAATAAAAAGTATGGTGACACATTACATTTACTACTACAGTATTAACAGTAAATTATGCATAATTACATGCAAATAACTAAACCCTAACCTTATAGTAAGTACATGTAGTTAAATTTAAGTACTTAAATGTATAATCACACTGTAACAAGTCACCAAGTCAGCGCTCACCAAGGATGCATTTATTTGATTAAAAATACAGTAAAAACAGTAATATTGTGAAATGTTGTTATAATTTAAAGTAACTTTTTTTTATTATATTGTTTATTTTAATTTATTCCTGTGATGCAAAGCTGAATTTTCAGCATCATTACTCCAGTCTTCGGTGTCACATGATCCTTCAGAAATCATTATAATATGCTGATTTGCTGCTCAAGAAACATTTCATATTATTATCAATGTTCTAAACAGTTAATATTTTTGTGGAAACAAATGTTTGCGAGAGAATGCAAACATCATTTTTCCTCCCATCTCATAGGATGAGCTCCGTATGATGGATTTTCATTGATGAATAGAACGTTTAAAAGAAATGCATTTATTTATTCATAGTTTTTTTTTTATATATATATATTTACTTGGATATTACTATTTTATATATTTAAATATGACAGTTTTTTAACCGGTTCATGTAAATATGTAAATATTTATAACAATTCTAATAATATAATAATGTCTTCATATATTAATGTCTGTAAAAATGACAGATGGGTATAAACATTTTAAAGGGGAAATACAAATGTATTGTCAAGGATACTCCTACAGTTTTTACACACCATTCATGGAAAGAGGAAGTGATGCCGAAAGCACTTCCTTGTGCTTTAAAGCTGCGGAAACTTCATTGTGGAGGAGCCAAATTGTAGTGACATCATCACAAGCCACAAACTCATACTGAGGTTTAATAATAAAACTGTGTTCAAGAAGCATCGCAAGCCTGAAAAAAAAAAGATTTGAGAAGATGATAAGCTGATGCTTAACTATTGTGTGACAATATTGTGGCTACATGTGAAGTTCAATAAATCAATATTTGCAATAAAATAGAAACACATTATTTATACATTTATTTTAAAATATGAATAATAACTAACACTAGAAATGTTTAATTGTAAGTTTCCCTCAAAATCTAAGTTCTGGAAGTATAGAGTGCAACAGTTCCCTTTCCCTTTTTCAGGTGCTGGTTCCGGAAGCATCTTTTCCATTCGTTTTTCCAATAGGGATTTTAAAAGAGTTTCCGTTAAAGAGTTATAAGCCATAAACCAAGCCAATCAGCTACGAGGTGAATCCCGACACTGCAAACTTTGATATATATGAAGCAAAAAATTTGATTTAAAAAATAAAATAAAATGGACAAAAAGTAAAAAAATATGAATTTAACAGCTTTAGTGAGGGAAAGAACTACAATCCCATGAAGCATTGCGAACAGCATAATAGAATTTAAAACTATGGAGAAATATAAAACTACTCATTAACGAATTTTGATTATATGTATAAAAACAATATATTTTAAGTTTATTGCAAAATATGCATACACAAACATTTCAGTATTTTGAGAGCGTAGAGATCGACGTCATTTGCAGTGCTTCATGGGAGTGGGCGGAGCTAAAGAGATCTTTAAGAGCGTGTTGCTTCTTTCAACTCTCTGATTGATGTCATTTTCTGTACAGCATCATGGGTAATGTAGTTTTTCACCAGGAATTCAGCAGTTCCAACACGATTATTTTAAAACTAAGCTAAAATAATTCAGGCTGACGGCTTCAGCATAAACAAATAGAGGTGTCTTTAGAGTTTTTACTTCCAGAACCGACTGCTGCACTCTATAACCAAAATCTGACAGAGATGCAATCAACAAACAGATTTCACTTATTCCATAATGAATAACAGTGGGTATATTATTGAAAATAAAGCTAATAATCTGAAGTACCTGTTCAATGGCACTGCTGAAGTGAAACTGTACACAAGACAGTCTGAAGACAGATGGCAGCGAATGTCTGAGCATACTTGAGGAAGATGAGAGGGCAAGACACAGAGGAAGAGCAAGTCTGCCCGTTTAGCCAGTCTAATGTTGTCAAAGTAACACTCGACACCAATGTTTGAAATCTCCCCTGTGGATCAACGAAAGAAAAGACCGAATTAACCAGTAGATCTTGATGAAAATACAGGCTTATCGATTAGGGCGCACCAGTCCTACAATGTCAAATGTAAAACCGGACTGATTTTAATCTTAATGACAACCAGGCTCGGGAGGGTTTTTATGACATGTGAAGCATTAGAGTGGAAACTGCTCCTGACTGCATCAATAATCATCCTGACAAGAGGACGCCAGTGGGTCGCAGGCGCTGGACCTTCACATGTGTTTATACAGATCAACACACTCACAGATCAGTTCAGCCACACAGTGTTGTAAGGACTATGAGAACTGATTCATGTGTAGTACTGATTCAGCTATGATTAAAAAATAAAATAATTCCTACTAAAGATATTTGTGCACCTATTTGTCACTGTTTCATTGACATCTTTTAATAATTTAGGGAACATAATATATGCAACAAGATGAATTTCTACAGTCTTTTAATAAAAAACTGCTTCTGAGTGCATTTAGACTGCTAAAAGTTTGGGGTCAGTATAAGAATGTTTGCCTCTTATGCTCACAACGGCTGCATTTATTGAATTAATCGCATCTAATATAAATGTTTTTGTTTATATAATATATGTGTGTCAGTGTGTGTGTGTACACTCACCGGCCACTTTATTAGGTACCCCATGCTAGTAACGGGTTGGACCCCCTTTTGCCTTCAGAACTGCCTCAATTCTTCGTGGCATAGATTCAACAAGGTGCTGGAAGCATTCCTCAGGGAGTTTGGTCCATATTGACATGATGGCATCACACAGTTGCCGCAGATTTGTCGGCTGCACATCCATGATGCGAATCTCCCGTTCCACCACATCCCAAAGATGCTCTATTGGGTTGAGATCTGGTGACTGTGGAGGCCATTTTAGTACAGTGAACTCATTGTCATGTTCAAGAAACCAATTTGAAATGATTAGAGCTTTGTGACATGGTGGAAGTAGCCATCAGAGGATGGGTACATGGTGGCCATAAAGGGATGGACATGGTCAGAAACAATGCTCAGGTAGGCCGTGGCATTTAAACGATGCCCAATTGGCACTAAGGGGCCTAAAGTGTGCCAGGAAAACATCCCCCACACCATTACACCACCACCACCAGCCTGCACAGTGGTAACAAGGCATGATGGTTCCATGTTCTCATTCTGTTTACGCCAAATTCTGACTCTAACATCTGAATGTCTCAACAGAAATCGAGACTCATCAGACCAGGCAACATTTTTCCAGTCTTCAACTGTTCAATTTTGGTGAGCTCTTGCAAATTATATCCTCTTTTTCCTATTTGTAGTGGAGATGAGTGGTACCCGGTGGAGTCTTCTGCTGTTGTAGCCCATCCGCCTCAAGGTTGTGCGTGTTGTGGCTTCACAAATGCTTTGCTGGATACCTCGGTTGTAACGAGTGGTTATTTCAGTCACTGTTGCCCTTCTATCAGCTCGAACCAGTCTGGCCATTCTCCTCTGACCTCTGGCATCAACAAGGCATTTCCGCCCACAGAACTGCCGCTCACTGGATGTTTTTTCTTTTTCGGACCATTCTCTGTAAACCCTAGAGATGGTTGTGCGTGAAAATCCCAGTAGATTAGCAGTTTCTGAAATACTCAGACCAGCCCTTCTGGCACCAACAATCATGCCACGTTCAAAGTCACTCAAATCAACTTTCTTCCCCATACTGATGCTCGGTTTGAACTGCAGGAGATTGTCTTGACCATGTCTACATGCCTAAATGCACTGAGTTGCCGCCATGTGATTGGCTGCTTAGAAATTAAGTGTTAACGAGCAGTTGGACAGGTGTACCTAATAAAGTGGCCGGTGAGTGTATATTATCATTGTATTTAAATATATAAATGTATGTGTGCAACACACCCAATACACGTATAGGGATCTCAATGAGTAAATAGTTCAATTGTACACATTTTCAGTAGTGAAATAACAAATGTGGTCACTTTACATAAAGCTGATACTTTTACTTTTAAGAGCAATGTCTGAAGAACAAATAATGTTGAAAGAAACTAAAAAAAAGTATCGAGAAACTAAAAAAAAGTATCGTTTCCCTCCATCAAAATAGCTGTATGGAACACACTGTACATATATAACGTTACTCACTAACCTAAGGTCTCAGGTCTTTTAGTTGAGATGTTGATGTCGCATGGCTTGAGGTCGGATGAATGCAGGAAAAGCTTTGCCAGCTGTTTGCCCACGTGACCTCCACCCAGTATGCCAACAGACAGATGTGTGTTTGCAGTGCTGCCATTCTCAGCGTTCAGTTTCTTTCTGTGGGAAAATGTACACAACAGTCGACGGTAATAATAAAAAAAGTAAAAAACTCTTTTTTTTTAACGCCGTCTATATGGATATTATAGTCAGAGATAACAACATTGCTCGACTGTTCTTACCTTAACAATCTGAAAAGATCATAGACAAATACAGAATGCGCACATCCACTTACAGTCAGCCCAGCAGATCGACTGCGCAGAAAAAGCAATTCTTTCTCAACTTCACTGAGTCCAGCCTCAAATCCGAGAGAGTTTAAATTAGTAGTGAAGTCCAGCATTTTCATAAAACATTTAAATCGTTGCTCGTTAAAGTTACAGATTTAACGTCGTAAACAAGTCCGGTTTCTATAGTAACTAGTTCAAACTGTGTGAAACTAGAATAATTTACGTCAGGTTTTCAAAATAAAAGTCCCAACGGTAAAATTGGCACTTTATTCAGAATTTAGAACATTTAAATATAGAGACATTTCATGTTCGGAGACCTATGTTGACATGCTGAATGAAAATTTTATTCATAGCAAGTTTATAAAAATAAAATATAAAATAATTCCAACTGACAAAACAACAACAACAACAACAAATAAACAAAACAGAAAAAAACACTGTACAAGGCATTTATGATACAAATGAAAATTAACACAAATAATTACAATAATGTACAATGTCCCACCCTATAACGTTCTTTTGTACACTGTACATTTAACTTCATAAATTGTGAACAACAATATGCCGTAAGAAAAAGATAAATAAAAATGATACAGATGCAAAACTGTAATCATCAAGTATTGTTTTCTTTTCTCAGACTATTACATCACTACTTCGCCCTTTGGAACATTTACAACTTGCTAGTTTTGTTCATTCCTTTCCTTAGAGATGAGAAATCGCACTACAGATAAACTGTCAGTTCATTGCCATAACAATAATGCGCCGTTTAGATGTTCGATACACAAATGCATGGGAGGGAAAAAGTTGAGATCCAACAAGAAACGAATCTCAATGATGTGTAAATTTGTTTTGAACGGTCAGCTAGACTACAGTATACTAGACTAGCATTTCACTAAACGCTAAATAGATCGGTTATTTTACAGAAGGCAAAGTCAACTAAATGAAAAACAGCATTTCAGGGTGTCCAGGAAAATTCTGTGCTGTTTTCTTTGTTATTTAACAGTGATCCGATGAACATAGAAACTTCGCCAGGGTGAAATTTGCCAGTAATCTCATTTGGCCAAAGGATTTATTGCAGTGATGGTAGAAAACAGCTGTTTTAAGGTGACTGACCAGACAGTTTCTTAGGGCAGAGTGAAGACTGTAATTGCAACTGTAATTAACTAATTATCTAACTAAAGTGATGCTATTTTGGGGGGGGGGGGGGGGGGGGGGGGGGGGATCTTGCTACTAATGCCTTTTCTTTAATGAGAAATAATCAATATTTGTACCACATGCTGGTAAATCACTTACCAGATTACACCAGCATACACATAAACGCATATTAACTAGCCGAGGATTGAGTAGGTACATAAACGTTCTCTCTGCAAGTGCTGATATAAAGTTAAAACAGGTAATAATGAGCTTAAGAGAATATGTTTAAAACAAACCAAAGGCAAAACAATTATGAAGTCCCTATTTACAATCAGGCAACAAACTCCAGGTACTCTGTATATGAAAACTTGTAAGCTGTATTTATTGTACATTGCGGCATTTTGTTATTTCTCTCTAGCTCATGCAAAGGGTTGGCATTCTATGGGAAGTGTAATTACAGCATTTTACAAGCGGAAAAGGAAGACGGCTGTGTAAGTTAATGCTCCAGGTTTTGAAGGAATTAGCTGCATGCTTTAAAAAAAATAGCTATTATTATTCTTAATGAACTATGAAACGTAAAACTTCGATATGAGTGGCAAATGCCAAATTGCAGACAAAAAAAGCTGAGGTTTTAAAACTAAGTTGTGTTTAGTTTCGTTCGACTGAATATATCATGTGGCACATTCATGTTTAGTCACAGATATTGGCTAATGTATCAGTATTAGAACTCTTCCCTTAAATTAAAAAATTGTAAAAGTATTGCAATTTTAAAACCTTCCCTTTTAACATTACGTTTTTGACTGATCTTTTATATTGTAAGCGAGGAGAGTAGTCATTTTTTTGATATGCGAAGAGAGAATCTGCAGACTTTCTGCTTGGAATCTGTAAAATGGGTTTACAAATGCAAATGTTTGATGGATCTGAGAGTATTCCATTCTTATTGGTAGCTAAAAGCGGAAATCAAATGAACTAATAAATGTTACATTCAAAAATGCAATCTAGTGTACAGAACTTTGTAAATGGTCCAGTTTTAGGGTTTTTATTTTAAGTATAGTAGGAGTGGATTCTGTTTGGGCCTGCAAATAACCAGTAAAAACTAAGTGTGACTTTCACTGGAAACGGTAAAAAATGCTGTGAGATACAAGAAGCACTACAGAAAAAATACAAACGAAATAGTTAGTGACTCTAGATTCTGAAAGCTTGAGCCTGCCCTATACAGTATATATATTCCAAAGCAAAACTTCTTTAGGCACATTGAAGCACAAGAACACTTTTTTGTTGTTGATTGTTTCAGTGGTCACCGTTTCTTGAAAAAAAAAGAAAGTAAAAGAGAACTGGCTTTCCTCTTGCAAACTCAGTGAGGTCAGAAACAGTCTACGCAAGTACACGCAATGCTTGGCATGACCATTTTAAGTGCATGGTCCCCTTGTACATACTTGAAGGTATGGTCCACCCAAAACTAAAATCATTTACTCATCCTCATGTCGTTACAAACCTGTATGACTTTCTTTCTTCTGTGGAACACAAAAGAAGATCTATTGAGGAATGTTGGTACTGTAACAAAACATTTTTAGTTACCTTTGACTTCCACTGTATCAAAAAACAAACTAAAAAACCCCACTGAGATATTTTCTTATGGTCCACACAAGTCTGTCACAGAAGTCCTGAAAAGTGAAGCCAGAGCATTTCGATCGCCCCCTGGCTGCAGTACAGGTCATAAACCCCAACCTCTCCATGTAATCGAATGGGACGTGAGCCAAACTAAAAAATCCAATTACAGCTCAAATAAATTTTTTCCAAAGATGGTTTCTGTCATTTTAGGTAGTTCGTATCATGCAGAAGTATGTTCACGTGTTTGTTTTCCCAACAAGTTTGGTTTTAGTTAGTTATTTGATGCTTTAAAAACAGGATGTAACATCATGATTGACAGCTGTGCTTGTGATTCAGTCTGAGGGAGTTTGATACCGCGCTCCACCTCAGGATTACGACTGACTCGATCTCCAAACTACGTAATTGGTGACAACCGTTTTTTTTTTACACTGGAAAGAAACAGAGACGACCTGTCCATCTTTTTTAACAGTCTACCCTAATGTATGGTTCCAGATAAGAAATTCCTACAGCTTCGGAACAACAAGAGGGTGAGTAAATGATAACTCTTGTAACCGTTGCTCCAGTAGTTGACCTGAAAGTAAATCCTGAACGTATAGGAACACTAATGACTGAATTGTAGCTTTGTTACTTGCGTAGAGTATGTTTCAGGCCACATACTGTATAGGTGCTGACAGTTGCAAAAGCACAGAGCACTGATAGGGTTAATGATGGTATGATCCATCAGTGTACCTGCCACTGCTCGGAGAGCGCTGCAATGCATCAAAGCCCAAATAAATAACATCATAAATACTATATTACAGCTGAGCTTGATGCAAACCTTATGTAATTCATGGATACATACAATCATCTTCATTAATGCTCTGGAATGTTTGAAAGAAAAGAAACTATAAAATACAAAAGATCCAGCCAATCACCATCATGTATAACCTCCCATGTTCTGAAACTAACTTTAGTGTTCAAAGCAGGATCTTAAAATTGAGGCTATTGATGGAGAGAAAACAAAGTTGCAAAAATCCAGATGCGTGGCGGAATAAGAATCAAATGTTTTTAGCTATACGGAAATTAGGACATTTGAAACCCAAATGTCCCACTTCTGCCAGTGTCTAAACCCTGTGGTTGACTATCTGCTCAGCTTGCTTGAGCACCTGAGCTCGCGGATGCCGGCTTTGCCCCGCTGGGTGTGAATGGCGGCGGAGCGAGCCTGTCTCCCGCAGCATCCTTCCTGTGTGTGAGGATGAGAGCGGCGCAGAGGAGGCGAGCCAGAGAAACTGGGAGGAGAGCGGCTGCGGGTCAGACAGCCCCCGCGATGCTCGTGGCGGGACGGGGAAGAGCTGATGGAGCGTTGCAGTGAGGAGGAACTGCGGGGGGAGGCGCTAGAGCTGCGCTGGTGGAGGTGGTGAGCAGAGATGGGACTGACGTACACATGCCTCTTGTCCACGTGCTGGGGGGATGAGCAGCTGTGGTGCGGAGAGCCACGGGGCGAGCTGGCATGCATTAGCTGGGCCAGACAGGTCAGCAGGTCTGAGTCACTGCTGCTGCCGGCAGGAATCCTGTACCGCCGGTGCCTGGAGGACAAGTAAAGAAAAGTAAAACAATGGTATAGCATGAGATTGCATGAAAAACTCATACAATTATCAAAAAGATGCCAATTTTTAAATACTACCCCGAATACCTAAGCAACCGTTCAAAATGCCTTAGCAACTGCCTAATAACCATCGAGAGCTCTTTAGCAACCACTGAGCAGTTAATTAGCAACCACCCAAAACAGTGCCAAGCACCCATCATTTTAGTAAATGTCTAGCAACTTTCCAGGTGATATGGGTGGGTCCTAGAGGATTCTGGATTTTTGTTAAAGGGGTCATATGATGCTATTTTCAAAGATCATTATTTGGTGTATTGGGTGTAATAGATTCGAATATGTTCACATGCTTTAATGTTAAAAAATTAATTAATGTTATTATTTTTCACATACTGTACATTATTGTAGCTCCTCTACGCCCAGTCTTTCTAAAACGCTTAGATTTCTACAAATCCCCAACTTATGAAAAGCGCAGTGTGCTCTGATTGGCCAGCTGACCCAGTGCATTGTGATTGGCCGAACACATCCAGCATGTGTCGGAAATGTAACGCTGCTTACCATAATCGAGCTTCAGCTTCCAAAGCTATTATAAAGACAGTTAATAATCTTGTCAGTTTTACTGTATAATTTCAAGCTCGAGTCAGATTCTGAAAATGCAGATGATCAAGCCGTTCGATCGGAACCAACTTTGCAAGCGCGACTTCAGCAGAACATTTCACAGTGGGAAGTTTTTAATTTGAAACTCTCTTACTTTTCAGATACGATGTTATAACGGTTTAATTAGTTTTCCTCACTGTAACAACTTCACGTCCTGAAGTGATAACATAAATACAGTTTAAAAACATACTGGTGTAGCTCAATGGGCGCGTGCTGCTTCAGCGGCCAGTTATGTTATGAGCGGAGAACAGTTTGTAAATATAAATCGATCTCTGCACTTTCGATCATAAGAATTACAAACAATAGGCGTTAATCTACACTGCACAAAACTCTGCATTTGAATTGTCAATAGCAAATACTTTAACAAATAATAAAACATACTTACAGGCTCTGATTCAGAAGCGCCAGATTGCCCTAGCAAAGTTGGAATTGCCCCATTTTTTTGAAATAGCCTTTGTGCACAGCCGGCCTTGTACTCTCCCAGGTTCAGGAAACTGTCCTCTGTAAAATGCGCTGCACAAACACGAACATTTGGGTTGTACTATTCTGGAACTGTGTTGTAAATAAATCTTAATCACTGATTCCTAATTGTATCCACTTTCGGACGGCCAAATAAAGTGCTTTTGCGTAAAAAAAAACACCACAACATGGCGTACTACGATAACTAAGACCACACCTTTTTTCTTTACGCATGCGTTTGGGCGGGATTATGCAAATTTTCCACATAGTGACGTAGGTATGTGAGGGAGAATTCGATAGAGGCGAATTCAAAATCTTTTTGTGGGAGATTTTGAGCTTTGTAATTTTGCAGATCTTATACATGCACAAACAACGACATAAAACACTAGAGAAAAAGGAAAACATGAAAACGTATCATATGACCCCTTTAAGATGTTCTCTGAGGTTGCTAGGTGGTAGTTAGAACAATTGTAGGCAGCTGATAAGGGGTAGACATACTGTAGGTCTGTAAGTTCTGGTGGGTAAGTAAGAATTTTGGTTTTCTAGAAAGTCATGCATTTCGGTCTAGGGTTAAAAAATGTTTTGGCTTTGCTGAGCCAAAATAACTACCTTGAATCCACAGTGGAGCGGCTAGGAGGTTTTCCTGGTGGTGGACGGGGCATGAAGTGTGCCGTGATGGTTTCCGCACTAGTAGTAGGGGTAACTGGCCGTGGTATCTTGCTCTTCCGTAAAAGTGGACTGGAGGAAGAGGACAGTGATGGAGCATCATCTCCATTACGATCGGAACGAGAACCCAGAAGCGACTCGTCATCTTGAGAGCGTTCAGAAGAGGCAGAAGAAACCTGGTCCCGCTGCATGGCAGCCATGATGACACGCCTGTCGGAGGATAACGTCGGGGAAGCGGAGGGTGAAAGTGGAATGTGGTGAACCCTCCTCTGGAGCAACTTCTCTTTAGCAGATCCAGGTGGTGGATCCACAAGGCTAGATGGTTCTAATACTGGGATACGGCTGTGCCTGGAGGCTGGAGAAGAGGGGCCGTTTCTGGTAGGACCACCTTCCTTTCCCTCCTCCAGAGACCACTGGTTGGGCTCTAAGGAGTGCTCAATAATGAACGAATCACTCTTGGGGTCTTTTAGTTTTAGACACTTGTTGCTGTCTATCTGTGTGTCTAAAGGAGGTGTAAGACAGCTTTTCATCAGAACTGGGCTATGCAGAGAGGAAGGTGTGCGTGGAGACGGCATCAGGCTTGGCACTGGGCTTGAAGGTTTCTGAGGACCATTCCCATTTAGCAAAGGATCCACCTCGACCTTAGAGGGGCTGGTGGGCTGGAAAGCTGCCGGCTCCTGTGGGGAGTTGATGTCAGTTGTGTTGTCTTGAGCATGGATCTCATTGTTACCATTATCAGTATCACGTCTCTCCAATGGAACACTTTCAGATGCAGATTGGGAGGACAGCACAGAAGGTCGCTGAGCTGTTAGCTGAGAGAGGGATAGAGAAAATTAGCAATGTATTACATAAATGTTCATGTCCTTGATGTCACCCAGAGGTCATAAATTCAGTTTCAGTCTTGATATTAATGCCTGTATTGGTAATCAAACATGCTTGCATGCAGATAGAAACAGATCTTTGACAAACCACACGTAATATCTTAATGTTAGTGAAGAGACAATAGCCCCTTTCAAACATACAGTCTTTACTGGTAAATTACTGGTAAGAGATCATGTGTGAACAGGACCTTTTCAAAAATGCCGGTAAATTGGTTACATCAATTTAGCAGTAGGGGAAGTTGTAACATTACCAGTAAATTACAGGTATTGTGCTCTGTGTGAATGCGGAATGAAGATTACTGGTATGATCATGTGCAACGTCAGAAGGTGCTGAAGTAAGAAGTCTGCTTTGGGCCAATCACAGTTCTCATGGAGATGACGTGATTATTCAGCGCTGTTTACAGTAAGCTTTTTAAAAGTTTTTCTATTTAAATATCCGCAAGATGATCATATTTGACCGTTGCGCCACATCTCACAGTTTTTTCAACGTGTCGTGCTCGAGACCCAACCTTCTTTTCCATTCATCAGCGAAAAATTCATGCGGCTCTGCAGTTGGATACTATTATGCGCGTCTCATGCTGTTCTGTTCTGTTTGATCATCCCCTTATGCCTGTCACTCAGACGTCAATTTTTTTTGTCAAATTGAACAGATATTAAGAACAAAAACTAACAGAAACTAAAGCGCTTCTCATGCGGGCGGAAGAAGGCAATGGCGCTGCGTTTAAAGATCACTTCCGATGACTGACATCACATAATTTACCGGTATTTTGGAGCTGATGTGTACATGGTCTCTTACCGGTAAAAAGCCAGAATGCCATTGCTGGTGTGAACAGCCTATTTGTGTATTCACCGGTAAAGTAATTCTGGCAATTTTACGGTAATTTACCGGGATTGCTGTGTGAAAGGGGCTAATGTCTTTAAGGTGTTAATATCCTTTAGATCACAAAGGGGTCAAATCTAGCTTAAGGAGGACCAATGTCCTGTAGAGTTTAGCTCTGACCTGTTTTAACACACCTAACTGGAAGTTTCTAGTAATCCAGAAGGGTTAGGTTTGTTTGATTAGGGTTGGAGCTAAACTTTGCAGTACAGTGTCCCACCAAGAGCAGGATAAGATACTCCTGCTTTAGACACCTAGGATGAAAGGCAAAACCTGACTGCCAAAGGCTTAAACAGGATAAGAGATGGTTAGTCACATATTCAGCGGAATGAAAACACACAAGCTCTGTTCCAAAAACTAGTGACTGATTTGGAACTCTCTAAATAAGCATTACCTCTGTGTGGCACAATCACCACACAAATATTTATCCGGAAGTCCAGCGGAAGACTTGACTCACAACTTATTAAATTGTTTCAAGTCTAAGCTAACCTGTCAACCCCCCCACCACCCCCAGGAGCTGGATTGTACAACCCTCTCATAAACGGCCACAAAAATGCTAGTGACGGCCCTGCAAATAATAAAATGCAAAACAATGAAATTGTACAATGTACATAGAAAAAGGCAATACACCAGGCTACACTAGTGCTAACACATAGACCCGATAGTCTGCTTGCTACAATTACAAATGTCTAGTCCAGACTTTCCTATGTGGACTCATCTGATCAAGCAGAACCATTTATTCAAGACACCATCTTCAATTTTTTCTTTTGCCAAGGAAAATGAAACATTATTGGTGCAAACTTAAATTTCTATAAATGTTGTAATTGCTATGTTCCTGTTTTTTGTGTATTTTTCACTAATCTTGTTGCAATGCATTCCAGTATTATCTTTTCGGTGAAGGATATATGCGATGCGACTTTTTGGGATGCCCTTCTAGTTAGAAGCATGCCTTTTATGCCCTAAAATGCCGTTAAGGTAGGGAGTTCACTTGTTTTGTAGGAACAGAGCTATTAACAAAAGCTATTAACAAGGTCCACAGTTTTAAGGACACACAACCTTGACAGAAAACTTTACTGGGCATGCATAACGGACAGAACAGTATTCCTGAGGTTCCCTGAGGAGAGAGCACACCAAAAACAGCATAACTTCAGTGTTACAGTCAAATACAACTATATAAAATAAAAAAGATCAAGAACATAAAGAACGTAGGAAACAGTGAGACTGGAGAGAAGACATGTTTGGTGGGCAGAGGTGGTTGAAGTTATGGGAAGCACGGAATGGGAGTGCCTATTCACCTGCTGTAGCTGAGCGCGGGTGATTCGTATGACTGAGGGGAACTTGTTGTTTGCGGCACTCGCTGGAATGGCAGGAAGTTTCCTGCGTCCAGGCGAATGGGCGGCACGGAGCTGGGAAGGTAGTGGCAGCGAGGCGTGGCACGAGGAGGTGGAAGAGGAAGGGTGGTGTTGGTGGTCTGCAGATTGGCTGCGGCGCAACCCGGGCAGGGCGCGCTGGTGTAGGGGGTCCGACAGGGTGGTCAGGAGGGTGTGCGGGCTAGGGGAGCGCAGTTGCAGGGGGCTGCACGTCCTCGCCACGAGCTCCTCAGGTTGGGATGCAGGAGAGGTGGGCAGCTAGAGAAGGAAAGTGGGGAACAGTGGAAGGGAGGCGAAGAGGGTTTAGTGAGGTGAATTAGGTGAGTCAGGGGCGATGAATGGGTAGCGAAGATGGAGACAAGTAAAAATACTGATTAAAACGGACAGAAAGATAGGAGGTGGTAATGAAGGAATGAGAGGAAGCAAAATGGCACAGCAGCATACATGTTGGTAGGAAGAATGCAAATTCTAGAAAATTCCATAGACCTCCGCACTAAAATCAAAATTTCTGAGTCAGTAATGTGCTCAAATCTGCAGCATACTAATAAAAGAAACCAGCTCTGTGTGGTTTTACAGCACTCCACCCACAGACAGTGTCCTGACCAAGGCAGTGAGGATACAAGAGCTCGGGTATCAGGATCAGCTTAACTCAGACTAACGTAAGCTTACATCACAGACCTGAGGGTGAGCTGTCTGTATCCCATTACTGTGGCTGACAGGTGAGCAGCCCTCAGAGACCACCTTTATACTGCTGACCAGTGCTTGAAGTGGGAAAAAAGGTACCGGCACTCTCTTGCATTGGCAAATCATGACATTTGAGATTTCTACCGTGAAAAACAAAAATTGGAGATATTGCTGGTACAACAACAATTTATTAATATTTATTAACAACATAAATCTATTTAACAAGTCGTGTGCGTGTGCGTGTGTGTGTGGGTGGGTGCGTGCGTGCGTGTCTGCATGTGTGTGTGAAAACGGAACTCCTCCAAGTCTTTTTTTACACAGTGACTGCTGTTGCTTCGCCTTGTCTGTACCAAAGGCTTGAATTAAACATTCCCTACATTCTCTTGACAGGGCAGCAAGTGACGGGATGCTACTACATGTTTTGCAGCCCAGTTTGTTATCTTTAAAAACGAGCCAGCTTTTCGTGGAGCAAAAATACATCATTTGGTCCCTTGACCAACAGTCAGGCCATCCATGTCTTTCGTTACTCACGTTATTGTTGACGTCGGTGTCATGAACTAAGGTAACGTTAAGGTTGGTAGCTGCAGACTCCTTATTAACGCTAGCTGTTCCGCTCACATCAACGTTAACTTGGACTTGGACCTCTGTTGTCGTGTCTGGCTCTGGCACACGCGTTCATTTAGTACCTTTCTGAAGCCAGGCTAACATAACGACTTACAAACTCGACACACTTCTTTTTAGTTTCTAGGTTTTCAGTTTCAACAGTAAAAAAAATCTTTAACGATCAGGCGGAAGCCGCAGGCATCAGACAGCTTTTTCGAACTAGCATCCACTGAGAAGCGAACTTCTGATAGGGTGGGCCGACTGCTTGCCTTTACGTGATTCGTCAAGATCTGAAGTAAGTCACGTAGTGCCCTCTGGGTAGTGTAGTTTATGTAACGTTAGGTCATTACCAATCTCTCTGACATTGACGCTTTTTCTGTCAGTAAATGGACTGCATTTATATTTCTATATATTATATTTTTCTGTCAGTGGTAGAGTACCGGCTACATGTGAGAAGTAGCGGTACGCAAGAAAAAAAGAATAAAATGTAGAAGTGCCGGTACTGCGTACCGGTGAGTACCGCCCCACTTCGAGCACTGTGTTTGCCTAGACATCCAGAACAGGGCAGCTGGAAGGAAATTATCAGGAGGGGTGTTAAGTGAAAAACATTATTACTGTAACTTTTTGATAGATTAAAATGTTGCCAAGCCTTAGCCTCAGTTCTTGTTTGGCTCATCCAAATTTAGTGAGAAACTTGGTAGGGATTACACAGGTTTCATATGAAATACTGTATATTTAAGGGGGCACTGTCAACCTACTGCTCAGGTACCCTTGGGTCATGGTATCCATGACACCTTCCAAAATTTGTCTTGATGAGCCAAAGCACTGCCAAGATAGAGCCTCACTTCCTGTTGGCAGCTTTGCTGACAAACCCATTAATTTGAAAACTTTTCACATTACCAAATTTGGGACTGTAGACATTTTGTAGGAGCAGTGAAAACAACACCTTTTCTAGGCTTTAGTTACCTGTGTGAGCGCTCCTTCAGCCAGTGCCTCACCAGGGCTGGTGGGGGTAACAGGAGGTCCACATGCAGCAGGGAATACACAGAGCTCCAACCGGTCCATCCTTTGTGGGCCCTGGACTGTGTGAGGCGTGTGGGCGTCTCCTTGTACGGGACTAGGAGTGGATTCTTTATCCGGTGATTCATCCATTGGCTGCAAAAGCTCTGGCTCCTCTTCACACTCATCTGATGGGCTACTAGTGAGTTTGGCTTTATGACCAGGGTTACTTCCTGCTGCCTCTTTGAAGTCCTGCAGGTCAGAGCCCTTCTCTACCATCACCCAATCACGCAACTCAACATCTTGTAGACCTGAGCTCAGGTTTAGAGCAACAAAGCCACTGTTAGCTGCACCGTCGCCCTGCTCAGGAGATCCAGGTGAAGCAGGCTTGGGTGAGCCACCGCCAGAGCGGAAATCCTCGTCATGGTGCCAAACACGCTCTGTGTGACTTACGTTGGATATGGCCATGCCAGGGACACCATCAGCTTCCCCTTCCCGTGCTGTACCAGGTGGCTGCTTACCAGAACTGTTCACAGAAACAGAAAGAATGCAGACTAAGAGTCCAGAACATACCGAAAAGTTGCTGAATGCTGAATATTTGAAATAATTAGAGAAGCACAGATCGACCGAGCCGGTCCGTTTTGTTGCCAGCGGCACAGGCAATAACGCCAGCTGCGCGTTCTCGCTCTCTTCTCTCCGACAGCGAAGTGACACACAACCGCCTCCTCTCACTTACTCGTCTCATTCGCTACGGTTAAATAGTGCCTGTAATAATTTTACTACCGTATTTTCCGCACTATAAGGCGCACTTAAAAGCCTTTAATTTTCTCAAAAAACGACAGTGCGCCTTATAATCCGGAGCGCCTTATATATGGGTGGTGCACACACGTTCACCAAGCCGGGGAGACAGCGCCGGCCGACTTACGCCACTATCTGGCAATGGATCGTGGATGCCTGGGCTGATATATCCATATATCAGTCTCTACTGTGATCCGAGCTTTCACGAAGGCAGCAATAATCTCTTTATTCAGCCGGCACACATACCCGTATTTACTTCCTGTTTTCGGCCGAAGTCCACAGTAGTTGATTGTCGACTTCGCGCGCTGCGCGCGCGATCAAACCTCCTCCGTGTGTTCAACATCTGATTCGGATGAATCATCCATTTGAGCTGATATTCTCAGAACACCACACAGCACCGTCATCGGCTGACAGTCTGAGTCTCCACTGTTGCTTAGTTACCAATGATCGCGCGCGCGCACTCGACAATCGCCTACTGTGGACTTCGACCGAAAACAGGAAGAAAATACAGGTATGTGAGCTGGCTAAATAAACATCATTTTTATTCATATCTTTCACATTTACTGCAGTCAGATTCACCGTGTTCACTCACATGGGTGTGCACTTGTAATGACGCATTAAGGTTGTTAAGAGGCTAAAAGCAGGTTTAAAACTTTTCCCGTTTAAGTCAACAGGGTGCACATTTAAAAAAGAGGATAACACGGTGTAGGCAACACCGGTTTTTGTCGTTGTTATCTGTACTGACAGCACTCCAAATTTACAAAAAATGAGCTCAATATTAAAATTGACCGGAGTTTTTCTTTAACGTTTGAACAACGTTACCATGGGAGTGAACGGAGTTGTCAGATGAAGTTTGACTTTATCTGACTGTTTTGTTGACATCTAGTGGATGCATAACGCAAACCCAGTCAAACGTTTGACTGCAGTATTTTATGCGTCTTATAATCCGGTGCGCCCTATATATGAAAAATGTTCTAAAATAGGTCATTCATTGAAGGTGCGCCTTATAATCCGGTGCGCCGTATAGTGCGGAAAATACGGTAATTCCAGGTTTCGCGCTGACACCAAAAGCGTCCGCACCATTGATCTATATAAGTGGAGCGCACAAGCCGCTTCTCAGTCTCAAGCAGCTTGTGAGTCGCAAGTACCAAAATGAGTGGCTTACTGCGCTTAAATGGTCAAATACACACTAAATTATATTCAGCGAGTATTCAGTTAAACAGTCAGTTTTTGAACCTAATTAGTTGAGAAAGATAACACAAGTTGTGTAACAGTATATTGGATACCATGCATTAAACTCTTAAAGTGACAGCAGTCTATTCCTGCTGCTGTCTGTCAAGACAAAGAAAATCACTCTCTGCTCTTAAAACTTTTGTAACTTAAATTGTAAGCATTAGTCTGTATTTAATTTTTACAATGAAGACTATCCAGTGTTATTTTACATTTGATTACTTTCATTTCTGTATTATTTCTTACCTGAATATACTATTAGAGCCACCTGAAAAACTTAAAGCCGTGTTTATTTCATATCTCTTTATTCTATTGCATTTATTTGTGCTGCTGTTTGGGAAATTTGATTTGTTCTTATTTTATTACTGTATTTTTCCTGTTTTTTTTCCTTGAAGAAAAGTAGATTTTTGTTTGTATCTGCTGTCAATTACAGTTCTTTGAAAGAAAATCAGAATCTGCAATCGGTATCGGCAGGTCACACCAACAAAAAAATCAGAATCGGCCAAAAAAAACTGCAATCAGTGCATCTCTAGAAATAATGCAATCTTGAGAGTTGAAGAGACTTACCAGGCCTCCACAAAACGCTCAGTGTTGGGTTTGGGCTCCAAAGTTAGTCTCTTCTCCAGCTCAAAACTATGAATGTTTCGCAATTTCCTCAGAAGAGGAGTGTCTCTATCTGAGGGCACCAACTCTGACCGGACTCGCACTGGTGAACCAATGCTAAGCCCTGCATGGGGACTCTGATTGCCTTGGTTGCTATGTTCATCCTCTGCTCCCATCTAGAAGAGAACGACAACAGAATATGAAGCCTGCAACAATAGACAAAGATGTCTGCGATTGATTCAGTTCACGGTACACATTCTGGTACCTTCCAGACAGCAGGACAGATTCGGTTCCGATTGCGGTCCAGGTCCTCCCAGACATCAGTCTCCTGGTTCCTGAGAGGAAGGCTCGGAGATCCAGGCAGATTCTCGGGCCGAGCATTGTCCCCATCACTGAGCTGCTCATCCTGCAGAACTTCATCTGTGTTCTCCTTCTGATCTCCAGGCATCAAGGAGGCATTCAAAACGCTGGAAGAAAACAGAAGAACCTGAGTATTTTTGGTAATCCCACAACTAAGAAAATCCAAATATTTGAGAGAGAGTTCAACAAAAGTAAAGCAGTCACATGATTTACCCCATCTGAGCAGGCGTGAGGCGTGTGTGATGCTGTGGCGTGTTTGCCGCAGCGGTGATTGTCAGTGGGCTATCGGAGCTCATCCTTTCCCAATCATAAGGGTCATTTTCCACTACGTTGTAGGTTCTCATACTATTCTCAAAAACGGTCCTCAGAAGCTAAAGTGGATAGATCATTTCAAGTCAGATTAACCAATAACGGCTAGATATTCCATTGATTTATTAAAGTATCATATTTTTACCTGATAGTCAGGTTTGGTAAAGTAGTCCAGATTACTGATGTGGTCCAGAAAGACACTGAAGTCTGGCGGCAGGTGTTTCAACATCAGCCGATGATCGTATGTATCTTTTAACTTCCCCACTTGCTCCTAATGCATAAATATACAAATATCATCATCACTTCCCAAACAGACAGGCATATGCTTGTCTAAGCACTTCTTCCTCCAGCCCGATCAGCACCTTGTCTTTTATCTTCCTCCAGGGTAGTTGCCCGACCAAGAATTCCACCAGCATGTAGAACAAAGACCACAAGTCATCATGTCTTCCCATCTCCTGTGACAGTAAGACCAAAATAAATCGGATCAGACCAGAATTATCCTTGTAACTGAAATATTACCAACAACAGCAGAGATTGTGCAGGAACAACAGAGCAAACATGGCAGATTCTTACCTTGTTCTTGTGGGCATTGACTGAGGCGTATCGTACTGTACCCCTAAACCCTGCAACAGGACGCGGCTAGGAGAGAAAAGAATCTTACAGTACACAAATATATAAAACCCAGTGACAGATAAATTCTCACAAACATATAAACAAGTACAGTCAGAAAACCTGTATTAGAAATGACTATTGATACTGACCGGTCTGACTTCTTGACAGGAGTTTGTAAACTGCCGCGCCAAACCAAAGTCTAACATGTAGCATGTTCGACATGTGCTAGGGAATCGGCCCATGGCAAAGTTGGACTGAAAACAGTGAGAACAAGCTATTTATTACAATGAGGTTGTAATCTTTTAAGTAAAAAGTACACTTTAAAGCATCCTATTATTATACTAACCACACTATTTAAGTATACTACCGGTACTACTTATTTACAACACAGAAATATATATTTTGTAAGGCAGCTAAAAGAGTTTAAACCGACAATTCTTACCGGTTTAATGTCACGGTGTAAAAAGCCCACTGAGTGGATGCTCTCGATGGCCTCCAGCATCTGCAGACACAGTCTGAGTGTAGTACTGACTGTGAAAGTACCACGGTTCATGCTCCTCCTCAGATCCGCTAAATTACGGCCCTGCAAAAGCCAAAAAGGCAACAGTTAATTGTTTTGGCAACAAATATTTGGTCAAAAGGCAGGTTTGATATGAAGTCATAAATAAATGAACACAGGCTGCAAAGTATGTAGTCATCAAATTATTATATAAATTACAAAAAGACAAATCTACATTTTAAATGCATAAATGAGTTAATCTATTTATAGGTAAGTTATGCATTTACCTTATGTTTACTTTAAAGGGATAGTTCACCCAAAAATTCTGTCATTAATTACTTACCCTCATGTCTTTCCAAACCCGTAAGACTTTCATTCATCTTCTAAACACAAATTTCTGTCCCTCCAATGACAGCTACGCAACTACCACTTTGACGCTTCAAAAAGTTTATAAAGATATCGTAAAACTAATCCATATGAATTGAGTTTAGTCCAATTTTTTTGAAGAGTCATGATCGCTTTATATGATGAACAGATTTTATTCACATAAACATTGATCAGCAAACATAAACAGAAGTTCAACAGGAAGAGTAACAGGAGAATGAACCTTATTGGTTCTCACATGTCAAGCAAGCATGCTTAAGCTTCTGTTTACCAGATCTGATGTATGAGTTGATGAATATTTATATGTGAATAAAGGCCTAAATTCAATCTGTTCATCATATAAAGTGATTGAGTCTCTTTAGAAAATTTGGACTGAACCGCTCAATTCACATGGATTGGTTTTACGATCTCTTAATTAACTTTTTGAAGCGTCAAAGTGGTAGTTGTGTAGCTGTCAATGGAGGGACAGAAAGCTCTCAGATTTCATTAAAAAAATATCTTCATTTGTGTTCCGAGGATGAACGAAAGTCTTACAGGTTTGGAACGACACGAGGGTGAGTAAATGATGACAGATTTGTATAAGCCTTCTAAACCTTTAAGGCAATGGTTTCTTTACAGATCACATAGAAGCTTTAACCATCTTTATTGTCCATTTATCATCTTTATAGCATTCTGTGTATATTACTGCACTCTCATATTAATTAAATACAACAATTAAGTGTGCCAGACCATCACCATAAATAAACTGTAATATTAGGCACACATTAAGTTAGAACAAATGCATAATCAGTCAATCAGGCCTCACCTGAAGTTCCATGACAACATAGTTAAAGCGATCATTGCGGCCACATCCAACAAACCGACAAACGTGATCCTTTCCTGAAACAGCAACGAGATGAAACTTCATTAAACTACATATCATTGTAACTCATTTCACATGCCAACCAGGCATAACAGAAGTCATTTACATATACAGTAGAAGTCTTAAAAGTACTAAGCAAAAAAGCCTGTTTATTTCAAAGGATCAAAAAGAAGGTGGGTAGTGGATACATGATAAACATTAGAAGTGGACTTGAAAAAGAATGATAGTAGTAAACAGTAAGTTTCTTTCTTTTTCTGTCCATGTGATCCTCTACTCCTCCTCCTATTATGGTGGTCTGTCCAGAGAAGGGGGAGGTTTATGCATTTAGTTCAGTGCGACTCGGCTCTCTTGGGACACTCTGGGCCACAGTAGCAGATCAGACCAGCTTCATTCATATTCCACTCTGATATGAAACACCCTACAGCCCTCTGCAAGGCCCTATCTTCCTCACTTGCCTCTTCCACCCGGTCTCCAGTGCTCCATTATTATGATTATTCTGTTATGAGTGTGAGTATTAGTATACATAATTTTGTGAAAAATGACATCTACTTTTTTTTTGCTAGTGTCTAGTAGATTTGCATATATTACTTAAAAAAAAAAGCAACTGTATCATGTTTTGTGTGCATCACTGCTAGTGTTTTGTTTACTTCTGGGGGCCGCGAGTAGATAGAGAGATCTCCAGTTACAAGTCTTTCCCTCAGGAAGAGATCAAACCACTCTGTCCTATCATAAAGGCATATTACAGCCAACGTGATACAAGTACATTGATTTTTTTCATAAGCAGTGTGGAGAGGTTGAGGATATAATGGAGGAAGACTGTAAAGGGAGCGAAAGAGGATAATGATGGTGTCATTGCGGTGCTCTGCTAATTGATTTGTTGATTCTTTGCCCAGTAGAAGAGAGAGCACGGTTTGATTTCAAGGTTAGCTACAGATCCTTGCAGTACGAGTTGTTTTATAATCACAGACATTCGTATCTCTATTTGAAACTACCGGTATTCAGATTCCCTCTTTGAAATTGTAATGTATATAACGGAATCAAAAACATAGTTAAGTTTTAATCAAGAAAACAATTACACAAGATCAAAAGTACTCAAAAATCAAGATATAAGAAAAAAAATACTGTTCAAAAGTTTGGGGTCAGTATGTATTTATGTAATGCATTTCTTTGATCAGAAATACAGTAATACTATGAAATATTATTATATATGTTAAATATATAATAAATGTTAAAATTTAATTTATTCCTGATTGCAAATCTGAATTTTCAGCATCATTACTCCAGTCTTCAGTGTCACATGATCCTTCAGAAATCATTCTAATATGATGGTTTGCTGCTCAAGAAACATTTCTTATTATTATCAATGTTAAAAACGGTTGTGCTGCTTAGAATTTTTGTAGAACCGTGATATATTTTTTCTTAGGATTCTTTGATGAATATAATGTTTATTTGAAATAAACCATTTCAGAAGAAGAAGAAGAAGATGATTACATCACTTTTCAATGTAATGCGTTCTTACAGAAAATATACATTTCTTTAAAAAATGTAATAAAAAAAACGTTTGCTAATTTTGAAAGAGTGTTCAAAGCAATATGTGAGATTGTTGCTCTTGATGTCTGATGAAGGCCTTGATAATGGCTGAAACGTCACACGTTTTTAACCAATAATGTTGGATTTCCTTAAGAGTGAGTGTTGCACCTTTTTCCAATTTTTTAAAAAAAATAAAAAATCTCAAGGACCACCAAACTTTTGAACGGTGGTGTATATATATAAAAAACTAAAAAACTAGTAAATTTGATGTATGGCAGTTGTGATAAAAAAAATGAAAATAAAAAAAACATTTACAAACATCACAGAACCAGTCACATGTCGCACGGGTATATTTGTAGCAATAGCTATGGGTCATTGTATGGGTCAAAATTATAGATTTTTCCTTAATGCCAAAAATCATTAGCATATTAAGTAAAGATCGTGTTCCATGAAGATATTTTGTAAATTTCCTACCGTAAATATATAAAACATTTATTTTTGTGAGTGAATGCAGCACAATCGCCAACATAAATGCACAACTTTAAAGGCGATTTTCTCAATGTTTCGATTTTTTTGCACCCTCAGATTCCAGATTTTCCAATAGTTGTATCTCTCGGACAAATATCGTCCAATCCTAACAATCCATACATCAATGGAAAGTTTATTTATTCAGCTTTCAGGTAATGTATAAATCTCAATTTCAGAAAATTGACCCATGTGACTGGTTTTGTGGCCCAGGGTCACATATACATTTATCTGCTCTACTTCACTTACCTTGAAGTTTCTTCAAGACCGCTACCTCCATCTTCAGAACCTGCTTGGGTTGTTGAGCGGACTCTGCTTTCAGAGCCACGCTGGTGCGGTTCATCAGGTCCAGAGCCTCGTAGATCTCGCCAAAGCCGCCACCGCCGATTTTTTTCACCTGAAGCAAAAAGCAAATATCAGAGGTAAGCAGACCAGAGTGATATCACTGTACTATTTTGGACTATTTTTGGTGCAAGAAACATTGATAATTAAATAAATAATGATATAATTCTAAAATAATATAATAAACACTATTTAAATCAACCCTTTAAATGTACTTATACTATGATAAGTACATTTAAACTTATACTTATACACCAATTATACTAGATTTAATGTAAAACAAAACAAAAATTCTGCACAGTGGTTGGATTTAACTTTTTATATTTTGCAATTTATTTCTCCTGGCATCACATGTCCCCACAATGTCTTCTGCCCTTTCATGTCACTTCCTTTTCCCCTCAGATCTCCCTGTACAGAGACAGCTAGTTTTCTCGGAGGATTATACAACGTTCCGTCAGAGGAAGCATTGTATTACTGATCAGTGCACTAAAAGAGCTGGTCAGTGAGTTACACAGATGAAGACACACTGCAATATTAGATCAGCGTGAGGAGTGAGTCACTACTTGCCACTACGTAGGCAAACATGGTTTCATGCTTTCCAGAAAGCAAATTTAAATGCGGTTTCTTTTCAAGGTTTTAATTTTTGTGAACAACTATCTCTTTAAAGGGGTCATATAATGCCATTTTTGTACAAGCGAAAATGATTCTTTAGGGTCTAAATTAAAAGTTTGTAATATACTTTAATTAAAAATTCTCATTAGTATTGTAAGAAAACACTTATTTTACCTGGTCAAAAACAGCTGTTTTCAGCACGCCGTTTCAGTGCATATGCCTTTAAATGATAATGAGCTTTGCTCACCCCGCCTCTCTGTTCTGTGTGTGTGTACACCGTTTGTAACACAATAACACAATAACCATAACGCGTTGTTCAGTACAAACGTGGGATTATGAATTATATTGAGAACATCGTACATAGAAAACATGCCGTAATGTACCCTGAGTGTAAACCGACGCATTCATTGTGAAGCCTGCAGCTAGCGATTTGCAAAGTTTAATATAAATATTAATATAAAGTTTAATAAAACGTTACACACACTTCAGTTGTTCTAGAGGTTCAGCAGGAACACGAATAGCTGGTACCGATCCTTTTTTCATGAGCAGCTTCTTAGCAAAACCAGCTTTATACTGATCCTCGTTTATAAAGCAGTCTGGTGAGAAATGATTCGCGCAAACATGAAAGCATTGACGTTGCTCGTGGGGAATATTCCCTTCGAAAACAAACTCAGCCACTGCGTCTTCAGCGGTTCGGATTTAGGAATGTGGAATTAGCAATTTAGGATTTAGAACTGTGTTCGTTATTACACCCAAGATCAGAACACCACAATCGCTTAGACGCCATTCTGCTCATAGACAGTGCTCCAGCATATCAACAATGCCCGGTCCACGCAGACTATGATTGAGCTCTCACGAGCGAGGGCGGGTCTGTGTTGAAACGCTGCTGTCAATCAACAATCGTGGGAGGGGCTTCCGAGCGTGTGACGTCACAGGCTCGAACGGCTTGATTTGAGACAGGGGAAAACATATAAGGAGATTAAAACAAAAACACTGGATGGATTTTTATCATTTTATGATGGTTGTGTACAGGCACTGCCAACACACATTTCTGTACAATCAACTTGTAAAAGTGCATGTACCATTATATGACCCCTTTAAGAAATGTCTAAATCAATAACTATGCTGTCTGGTAATTTAACAAGCAAAGCACCACACTAGAGATGCAAGGACCAGTTCTAACGTCACAACTCTGCTGTTAAAAATAAATATTTTTCTTTCTTTTCTCCCTTTTGTTTTTAATTCTCCTTTTTCAAATTTCTCTCTGATCGGTTTTGTCTCCATTGCTGCTTAAACAAGTGGACCCCACAACTCCGTAGCTTAGAGTCTGCAAATGGATGCCTGATGGAAAATTAAGCTTTAAACAAGTTAATATTTCCATCATGTTGGAAAACACTTATCACTATCAGAATAATTTAGGCATGTGTATATTTTTTGTTAAATCTGTTAAGTTATTAAGCAATCTCTCATGTAGTTTTTTTCCTTTGTGTTTTATATAATGTGTTTTATGTAATTAATTTTATATAGTGCTCTTTAGGTATTTGTTTTCCTTGAACGGTTTTCCTTTAAAGGTGCAGTATGTAATATTGATAGCTAGTGGTTGAAATGGGTACTGCAGTCCAAATTGAAACTGTTAGAGAGAGTTGTTTCCCCGACCCCTTCTCCTCCTCAGACTCAGGACATACAACAGGAACGAGGACAATTGACAATGGAAAGCGATGAGCCTTACACTGTAAGTTGATCAGCTAATAAATACATTTGCAATGTTTTTATTGGTCGGGCAGAATCTGTAATCTCTGACCCAGTTCGTTTGCTGGCTTCCATGGCTGCAATACACTGTTTTCCGCCAACTGGCAACCCAGGGTGTCGAAATACTATTGAGTAAATTGGCAGTGTGCGGGATCACACAGACCAAAAAAAAAACAGACATTCTGGAACACAATGCATATTTCAAAGTAGATTGACAGGCCGTAGCATTGTATTTGGATAAACAAGTATTTGAACTAAGCATGTTTGCTACATCTCTGCAAACATATTACGGTCATTTTAATGATTCAGCACCTTTAAGAGATATGTTGTTGTTGAAAACGAAAGTAAAAGAGGGACGCGTATTACTGTGAAATGAGAGTTTGTGTCTTTATTAAAATCAACACATTATGATGATTTATCTCATCCACCCGTGACCCACAAGCTTAATTAATTGGAATGTTATTTTTTTATTACTTGGCCCGCCCAACCCCAGGATGATCCAGTGTCCGCAGATATAACCGCGATCTACGCATCACTACACCACACTGATGTGCATTAAAACCTGCAGACTTACTACTTTCCATCGTTCCTTCACCAGAATGCCCGTGGTCAGGATGTCTGTCTGCTCCTGCCCTGCGCTCATCCTGTCTGTGGTCTGACTCGTGCTCGTCCCCTAACACCAGTGGCAGTGGCCTCGGTCTGGCATTGGAGCCCGGTGGTGCCCACTGGACACAGAAAAGAAAAGAGCATTGTGTTAAAGTTGCTTGTTGTACTGTTACAGCACTTACAATGCACAATCCGTGGCTTCTTATTCCATCATAAAAACTGCTAAGTAAAAATGTAATATTTCATTAAAGGATAATTCCGGTATTTAACACTTTGAGTCTATTTTCTAGTTTGTTTTGGATGAACTAGAGTGGTGGACTTAGAAATGTTGACGATGGGTCCTGTCTCGACTTTTTGACTATTTTAGAATCGCCTCTGAGCGCTTCAGAGTGGATGTCTATGGGCATGCTCAAACATGTCCTTAAAACAACCCTTAACGTTGGTTTTCAAAACTGTGCAACTCACCGAGTGGTTAGTGGTGTTCGTTGATGATTAAAAACAAATATATCGGCGCAATGTATGCTTTCAATCCGTGTTATTTGCTATAGTGGAACTATTTTTTCAGATACCTCACAACCGCGTATAAACTTCCGCTCGATATTTGAGTCTGAAGCATTAGCACACTCCCGGCCACTTGATGGCGACAACCACTTTGCCGCAGTTGCTCAGCTCACGATAGCCTTCTGAGAGACGGAGAACCGAGCGAAAGACTACAACCAAATGTAAACAGACCCCTTTCCGTTTCCGGTAGCGCAGTAATATCAACGAGCACTGAGTCCTCCAGCAGACATCAATACGATTTTAAAAAATGGCAAATAAAACACGACAGAAACTGTATTTCGCTACGCTACTTGTTTTGGAACATCAACGAACACCACTAACCACTCGGTGAGTTGCACAGTTTTGAAAACGAACGTTAAGGGTTGTTTTAAGGACATGTTTGAGCATGCCCATAGACATCCACTCTGAAGCGCTCAGAGGCGATTCTAAAATAGTCAAAAAGTCCAGACAGGACCCATCGTCAAAATTTCTAAGTCCACCACTCTAGTTCATCCAAAACAAACTAGAAAATAGACTCAAAGTGTTAAATACCAGAATTATCCTTTAAGCAAGAGACTTTGTCAAGTGTTTCTGACGTCACAAACTACAGTGGTGGCCAAAATTACTAGAACACCTGACAGATCTTAAAATATTGACATTTTTTGCCTCCAAAACATGATTAAATTTCATAATTTTCATGAAACATGCAAATGGTTGCCCTGAGCACAACAAATATCAGATTGTGATTGAGTCAGACAGTGAGTCGTACTGTTTTTATCCACTTTTGACTTTAATATTTGGTATGTCCACCTTTTGCAGCAATTATAGCAGCACATCTCTCTGGCATAGTGTCAATATATTTCCTGAGAACTTCAACACTAATGTTATCCAAAGGCTTTCCTTTGAATGTACAATAGATCTGTCCAGTTTATTTTCCAACTCGCTCCAAATTTACTCGATGAGGTTGAGGTCCGGACTTTGACGGGGCCAGTCCGTCATTTTCAATGTTCCAGCTGATTCCTTCAGTCGCAGGTAGTTCGAACTTCCGGCAATAGTTAGAAGAATGTTTAGGGTCACTGTCTTCTTGGAAAATAACAACTGAAACCTCTTAAATATGCCACGTGTTCTAATAATGTTGGCCACCACTGTCCCTTGTAACCAATCACGTGAACGTGCGGGCGGGCTTTAGCATATCATTAACTGCGGTCTCGAGAGGAGCCAGGTTATGCCCTGAGTTGTGTATATGATGTATATTACGATGTTATGATGAACTATATTCCTTTCTCCGTTCTGAGTTGTTCTAAGCATTTCTAAGGATGCTGATTTTTAGAACGCAGCTGAATCTGAGATGGCGAACAGGAACATGGTTTGTGTAAACATTAGCAACACACATAATTAGCTGTTAGATAACATAGTCAAGCAAAAGACTAATCATATTAATTACCGTTATGTGTTCAACATTGTAGAGTGCGATATAAAACGCATTACCATTCTGATTACCAACATCGACTTGTATACGAACATGTATAATTCATTCTTCCACTTCTTCTTCTGAATCAGTTTCTGGTTCAAACGTTTATAGCTGAATTAAACCAGTATTTCCACTTGCCATTGTGCATCGATTACTACAGTAAAGTTGACCGAGTGGATCAGATAATCTGAGCTCCTGTGACTGAAACTAATTTGCATATTCATGGGTCCACTTATACTAAATGAAGCAAAGGTGTAGAGTTGCATTCAAGCTTTTTTAAGGTATAAAGACATTTTTTTTCACAGGAAAATGTTTAAAATGTCATTTTGGTGATCAAAGATGAGTTTTAAATGATCAAATTATTGACTACAGGGGGACATTAATTTGTGTATTTAAGTGAAATGTGGACCTGTGAAAGAGGAAAACGTTTTTTTTTTTAAATTCAGTAACAATAATTTCTAATATTAATGAGGCTGTAGTTCCGTATATACAGTATATACCTGTTCAGCCAGGTAACAACTGTGCTGATATTTAGACCAACAGAGGGACTTAGAGGGTTTTATTGCTTTTATACAATAGTTTTAGGTAGGGCTGTAAATTGGATGTTTCATCATGATACATCGCCTGATGTCGATTCTCTTAGCCAGCGATATGATAGTTATACCTCAAAACATGCAGTAATATGACTTGATTAGATTAAGGGGCCTGTGATCGTAATATCGATATTACTATATTATGCACCTATTTTACACAACCAGGTACATCTTTATTTATTCACAAAGGCAACTCTGAAAAATGCGAATCGCAATTGGGACATCCACAACAAAAAAATACACTTTAATTTTTATAATAATATAGTAAAGTTAATCATGAAAAAAGTCGCACATGAGATCATCAATTGTCCTATGACAACTTATCACTGGCTTCTGCAATACGATAAGCAGTGACATCTGTTGAGAAATAAAAACAAAAATGAATATAAAAAAGACATACAAAATAAAGTTAAAACAACAACTGTCGTCATATATTTCATATATTTTTATAACAGTCAAAAAAAGTATTTTTCAAGAGGTTTTTCTTTAGGACATAGTGTGCAGAAACAACGTATGTGGGTGGAGTGGAGGACAGAGATTTCCCTTCCCGCACAGCAAGCATCTGTAATCACTCTGGTCCAACTCCACTCCGGGTTTTCCATGTCATGCATGCTTATTTACTCTGGTCTGGAACACAGATAATACAGCGAAAAATCCAAGGCTGTGTCCGAAATTGCTCCCTATACCCTTAAATAGGGCACTATTTGAGGGGACAGCTATTTGTAGTGGTGTCCGAACCCTTATCGAGTGCAATCATTCAATCCCACAATGCACCACCACAATAATGAGTGTACAACCTATGGCTGGATCCCAAATGGGGATCGCAGTCTCGTGGCCTTAAATTGCGCGTGCTCGTCATGCAAGTGTATGAGTCCGTAGGGTGTCCCATTCGGCATTTCAGTGCTTAGAAGTGTGCTCGCGAGTGCCCTTGATGAGTCCGTAGGGTGTCCCTTGTTGATGCCCTTGATGAGGCCATAGGGTGTCCCATTCGGCATTTCAGTGCTTAGAAGTGTGCTCACGAGTGCCCTTGATGAGTCCGTAGGGTGTCCCTTGATGCCCTTGATGAGTCCGTACTCCGTAGGGTGTCCCATTCGGTATTTCAGTGCTTAGAGGTGTGCTCGCGAGTGCCCTTGATGCGGACTTCGGCGAAGCCCCGCACTTTCGCACCCTCCACACGAGTTACCTACCCAGGAATCTTTGCGAAGTTGCGAACGCCCAATCAGATAAATGAGGGGAGGAGTTACATGGCTGTTTGACTTTCGGTGACATGATGTCATCAAGCCTGTCCCAAAATACACTCTCCCGTGCCCTCGTGGACTCGACGCCAGCGCCCCTTAGGTCTGCAATTCCTGACGTCACCAAGTGTGAACTCGAAGGAGGTCCACAAGGCCGGAGTGTGCCATTTGGGATCCAGCCAATGTATGCTCAACATCTAGAGTGATGGGCGGATCGATCCTGAAGTATCGATACTTCGATACTGACGTGGTATCGAAAAGGATCGATCCTCACATAAAAATATCGATCGTAAATAAAAATATGTATTTTTTTTACCAGTATTTTTTTATTAATTTAGCACGCAATTCAGTGCGTAAAATAAGCTTCTAAGTGGAAAAATAAGCGAATGTTAGCGGGTAATTGTGTAGGATAGAACCTTTTCTCCTAGTCATCTGTATACAAGACGAAACCAATCAATCACAGAGAGCGTTCGATGCTGGTGCTTCGCTGAGCTCACAGGCCCAGTGCGTTTGGGAAACGAAGCCTTGCTTAGATGACAGAGAAACAATCAGGAGTTATTTCGCAATAAACAAACCAAAACTGTACATAACGGTTTAAAATGTTGACGTCGGTAAGATCTTTTTTATGAAATTAATATTTTTATTCAACAAGGATCGATGCATTAAATTGATCAAAAGTGACAGTCAAGGGTTTTACACTGTAAAAAAAAAATCTACTTCATATAAATGCTGTTCTTTCAACTTTGTTCATCAAATAATTATGCATAAAATGTATCATGGTTTCCAACAAAATATGAAACTGTTTTCAACATTGATAATAATAAGAAATGTTTCCTGAGCAGCAAATCAGCATATTAAAATGAATTATCATCATGACTGGAGTAATGATGCTGAAAATTCAGCTTTGATCACATGAATAAATTACAGTTTACTATGGCATAGAAAACAGATAGCCTATGTTAAATTGTAATATTACAGTTTTTACTAAGAGAAATAAAAATCTTACAGACCCCAAACTTTTTAACAGTAGGCTAGTACTAGTAGGCTAGTACTATAATTAGTTTTATAAAAGTCACTGACTAATTAAAGGGGAGTTGAGAGCACAAATCACAAAATATTTAGGCCTAGTAGTCATGAAAACGTGTTCAGATTTAGCATATTAATGATGCATTCACCTCATAAATCATGACACACTGCTCTAGCACAGGAAAGTGCATACAAGTTCAAATGCATGCTTTTAAAATTAAGAAGTATCGGTATCGGTATCGATATCGGCGATACTGGCCCTGTATTTACTTGGTATCGGATCGATACAGAAATTTGCAGTATCGCCCATCACTATAGAATACCCACAATTCACTGCAGAATGAATTTCCACGTCTGGCCAGAAGATGGCGCCCGCAGCTGAATCATCCATCCATCCATTTTCCAAACCGCTGCGGTCCAATGTGGGTACAGCGTAATATCATACAGGTATAAATTCCTTTTTAACTGATTATTAAATTGTTTAATTAAGGTTTATACATGCTAGTTTCCATGACAGAGTTCAAGATAAATCTTTTCATTACTACTGGAGGCAGTTTGCTAAGTTTTAAATGATTATTAAACAGCTAGCACAAACTATGCAAAAGCGGCAGCCCTTCCGGCGAACTCAAGAGTCAGAATTCACTCACTCGTTTTCATTCACTCCCTCAAGTGGACTATATTAGTGGAGTAATGTGGGAATAGTAAATGAGGGTATAGGGGGCGATTTCGAACACAGCCCAATTGTGAGGTTCTAAAATATCAACCAATCAAGGACCGAAAAAATTAGACAGTACAGCTCTTTGTTGTACTAGTTGCTTTCCTTTGGATAAAAGTCTCAACCAAAAGAAAATTTAATAGTACAGAGACATCAGAAATTATATTATCTTTAAGAAGCGAGATAAACCTAGAGCTTAGTGATTGACAGGTGTCATTTTAACAAGTAGACACATTAACTTACTAACGCTAAAGAACTGATCTGTGAAACTAATGTAACAGAGGTGTGCACATTGTGCTAATTAACGTATGTAACACTCTGAGCACGATTTGTGTGTGTGTTTGTGTGTGTGTGTGTGTGTGTGTGTGTGTTTTGCAGAGCTTGTTTAAGTAATTATCAGATCATTACAGCGTTTGCTTTTGTCTGCATATACTAGTTTCATTGCAGACGAATTTTACTTCTTAATAAAAACATCAGATTATTTTATTCCATATTTAAATGTTAATATTTCGTCTGTTTGAGTATGAACTGGTTTAATGGCAGCGGCCCGCTGTTGAAATGTGATCCGCACCGCTCGATGTGTCGCGTTGCTACAGTGAACACAGACAACAACACATCCACACACTTTATCACAAATTGTTCGTTCCAGTGGACATGACCTTGAAAACAGTGCTATAACTGCATTATTGTGACTGCAGCTGTCACTGACGGCATGTCATAGAGCCCAGTGTCCGTATCCATGTTACTCACCTCAATCCCGATCCTCACAGCGCCGGGTGTGGTTTATAATTCTCATAAAATACGCTTTAAAATCATGTCGAAGACGTCAAATGGTGTAAATACGCGGAATGTTCCTCCATGAGAACGAAATGAGGTGTCATTTGCTCTGACATATGCACAACTGCGCCGTGTTTTTGTAAATGTCCCTATCGCGGGTCCTTCAGCATCTCTGCAGATTCGTGACGTGCTGATCCTTCTGCCTGCATGCGCGCTCGTTCGCGACGCTATCGCCCTTCGCAACAGCAAGCGCGTGCACTAGCATTCCACTCTGAGAGTGCACGTAGATTCTCCGGGCGCATTCTCGAGAAGTGTTTAAAATGTGAGAACGATCCCTCTTCTGTTTAAACACGGGACAGCACGCAAATCACAGTTTTGTCTGGTTTCTGACTTATATAATAACTATTAAATAATATACAGTGTTATATTGTGTAGTAGACTAATTAATTACTTAAGTAATTCATTACTGCAATTTAATTACTTCCCTTTAAAAAAGTAAAGGATTAGGCCTACTCTTAATTTTTCTGTCATTTAATTACAGTTACTAATTTAACATCAAAATGTAACGTCTAATGTTACAATTTATGTTCTTAATGTCACTTTTCTCCCTTTAAATACTTTGGTCAGTTCAAGAATTTATGCAATTGTGTATTATTTATTTAAAATAATTAAACAAGCAGTTTCATGTCTATCTTTGTAACTGGTTGAGATTGATGTGGTAGTATAAGTAATGCATTACTTTATAGAGACAGTAATTAGTTATCTAATTACACTGTTGAAGATGTAATTAGTAGCTAGTAATTAATTACTTTTTTAGAGTAGGCCTAACTTACCCAACAACGCTGATATGATCCCTTTTGTAAGAAAGTGTACAAAAATGTACACTGTACACTTCTTTTAAGAAAAAAACTTTTTTTTTGGATACATGCAATTCCTCATATCCAATATTGCTATCCATACATAAAATGTCTTAGGAATAATAATAAAGGCATAAAAGCATTTCTTGTCATTATTAAATGATGAGGAGGAGGACAATTAAGGATATGCTGATATGCCTACTACTGATGTATAGAATACTGATAGAATACTGCGTTCCACTTGCCCTCTTAATTATCTTAGGGATAGTTGACCCGAAAAAAAATAAAAATTTCATATTTACTCACTTACATGTGGTTCCAAACTATACATTTATTTATTCAGCAGAGCACAAAAAGATGAAAAACGTTGGTAACCAAGCAGTTATAGTTTCCATTGACTTCCATTGTAATTTTTGCCCATAAGTCATACAGGTTTGCAACGACATGAAGGGTGAGTAATTAATGACAAAGTTTTCATTTTTGGGTGGTCTATCCCTTTAATACTATTTAATACCTAAATTCAAACAGGCATTTCTCAAAATGAAGGAAGCAGCAGATAATAATGTCAACACTATTTAAAACGAAAATGCTATTTTAGTCCAATTACAGACCACCCAATCGTCCTCAGCGTGACATTTCGACATAAATGTCACAGGGCTCAAAGAACCACAGACAGAGTAAAACGAGAATGGAATATTGTAATCCTCAAATAGGCGGGGCTTAGTAGCCCAGACGTTCTCTAATTGGTCATGTCTAGGGTCTAAAAAATAATTCGTCGATTTGATGTATATATTTCATATTTATATTTAACTTGTGTTTTAAAATCTAACCACTATTAACATATCTCATGGTCATACCTAAAGTTTAAACTATTGTCCAGACAGCTACTAAGATAGCCTACCTACCATATCAACGGTGACGGCTCTGGTCTGTAGCCTACCTGTTCCTTTTCTCAACGATACTGAGGATGGACCAATCACAGCCGTTTGTGATTAATGTTCACAAAGAATTTAAAAATATATATTTGCACAGATTGATTAGGCAGGTTCCCGTTTGTATGCCAGTCGCTTAAAATTACAATTACAAACCTTGAGATTAAAATATTTTTTTGAGATTTGAATGCGTCTGAATGGAGGATTCGGCTGTCTGAGCCATCATGCGCCCCCTTGCAGGGATATTTGTGCACCATAATAACATTTAATAGTATTAGCGTTTGTCGCCCATTAGAAAGAACACACACCTCTAGTCCTGTCAAATAACTTCCTCTTTATGTGGCGGAATCATGGAGGTGAATGTTCTTTCAACTGAATTCGAGAGGTAACAAGCATTTCTGCAGCATTGAAACGATGTTCATGCTTGCACGTAATGTGATCAAAAGCACGTTGTTAAAATTGTGAGCGATATGTGTCTTTATCATCAGTTCAGTTGTCATTAAGGACATGTAGCATATGCTTGCAGACTACTAGCAATTATTACAGTAGCCTATTAAGAAAAATTTGACCAGAACCAATTGAACTGTACTTAGTTATGATGTACATAACATTACATTACAGTGGCGTTCCGGGTGATGAGTTTAAAGAGAAGTTTAAGAAAAACCATGACATTACATTCTACAGGTAAGTATTATTATTGTTGTTGTCATTATTATATTAATAATATCTAGATGCCATTGTTTAGGAAATAAGTCTCTTTATTTCTTTAGTGAAATAAATTTAATAAGTTTGAATTTGTTTGACCTTTGATCTCTACAATAGGCGACAGAGAGATAAAGCAGTGTCTCAGTACTTTGCCTCCTTGGAGACTTTATTGCTCACAGATAGAGGAGCCAGTCTGGAGCTCTGTGAGCGGGACTCTCAGGTGGACTGCCACTGCTTATTTCACATAGCTCATTCTTTCAATGTTGTCGAGGGCAGGGGTTTGTCAAAATATGTTTAACACAATAAGTTTAATGCATTTACTTAATTAGATTTTTTTTTTTATTCTGCTTTCTAAAGACTTGGCCATAATCGTGAATTAAAGGGATAGTTCACCCAAAAATTAAAATTTAGTTATTATTTACTCACCTTCATGTCATTCCAAACCCGTAAGACTTTCATTCATCTTTGGAACACAAATTAAGATCTTTTTGTTGAAATCTGAGAGCTTTCTGTCCCTCCACTGACAGCTACACAACTACCACTGTGACGCTTGAGCGAACATAAACAGAAGCTCAAACGAACCTGCTTAATGTGCGAGAACAAACCTCATTGGTTCTTCCAGAAGCTCAAACGTGCTGCGTAAAACGAGAATGAACCTCATTGGTTCTCGCACGTCAAGCAAACATGCTTGAGCCTCCGTTTAATACAACTGATGTGTGAGTTGATGAATGTTTTTATATGTGAATAAAAGCCTAAATTCAGTCTGTTCATCATATAAAGCGATCGTCTCATCAGAAAACTTGGACTAAGCTGCTCATATGGATTAGTTTTATGATCTCTTTATGAACTTTTTGAAGCGTCAAAGCGTCAAAACTTGGACTAAGCTGCTTATATGGATTAGTTTTACAATCTCTTTATAAACTTTTTGAAGCGTCAAAGTGGTAGTTGCGTAGCTGGTCAATGGAGGGATAGAAAGCTCTCGGGCTAATGGGGTTGGAATGACATGAAGGTGAGTAAATGATGACAGAATTTAAATTTTTGGGTGAACTAAACTAACCCTTTAAGACCACATTTTTCTTTTTTAGTAATAAATATATTTTTTGGAATGGCTCACCAAGGCTGCATTTATTTCGTCAAAATGCAGTTAAAAAAAGCAATATTGTGAGATATTATTACAATTTAAAATAACTTTTTTCAATTGTAATATATTTTCATATGTAATTTATTCCTGTGATGCAAAGCTGAATTTTCAGCATCATTACTGCAGTCTTCAGTGTCACATGATCCTTCAGAAATCACTCTAACATGCTGATTTGATGCTCAAGAAACATTTCTTGTCACAGATGAACACGAGCACAGTTGAAAGCGGTTGTGCTGCTTAATACTTTTGTGAATAATAAAAAAAAAATTGTTAAATTAAAAATGTCTTTACTGTTACTTTTGACCAATTTAATGTGTACTTACTGAATAAAAAAAATGTTACATTCAAATCATGTAGTTTAAAGGATGTAAAGTTTGGAAGTATTCAAAGATGCAAAATATCATAAAACGTTATCGAAACTATTTCTACATCTTCCAGAATCGGCTGAGTCTTCAAATACGGGCAACCCAAAATGGAACGGTCAGAGTTTCAATTGATGAGCTTCAGCCTCTTAAACAACGCTACCACGTTTCAGACGTTCTGGTTGGAGAGATGAGATATGAGCCGTAAGCCATCAACTTCACAATTCTCTTCACATCTCTCCTAGATCTGCTACTGCCAGGTCTTCATTGTTATGTCTTTGACAGGCTGAGAGTTCATTGGAAGAGAGAGGACTGTGTATGTCTAACTTGGGGTCTGGGACAGTACCAGTTGCTGGTTTCCTTTTCACCTTTCAAACTAGAGATTTCCTGTGATGGGGAGGAGATTGTCACACTTAACCCAGAAAACAAACTCTACTTTGAGACTCTGCAAGATCCAACTAGGTATGTATGAGGAACAATATATGAAGACTGTTGTTTTATACTCCCATAAAAACCTATTTGGTAATAGCTAATGTTGGTTTTTCCCATTTAACTCTATTGAAATTTCTTACAGATCATCTTCAAATTCATGTCAGGTGAGATTATAAGCTTTAATGTGAAAATGTATGATTGAGAGAACTTACTTGTTGTTTGACAAATCATGGTCTTCCATCTCAAAGGAAGATGAAAATCAATGCGGGCTGTGGAAGGAAACTTTCAGACAGTTCGAGGACATCAAGGCAAACGGTAAACTGCCATAACATACAGAATACAACTCCAGTGTTCATTTCATCAACTCCAGTGAAACTTGTATTATTATTAATATGGTTGTTTGTTTTACTAATGATGTATACATAGGTTAGGTTAGGGATTTAAACAAACCCCTAGAGGCCCGTTCACACCAATGCCAATAACTAAAACGATGTCTACAAAGTTTTAATAATCATTCTAATTCAATGAGAATAGCAAAGTCCAAACCACTACTGGAATGAAAATGACACAGAGGAACGATATCATTTGAATCACTATTTTTCCCAGCTGATGAACAATAAAAACATTGACAGCCAATCAGAACCCACCTGACTTTAAAGAAGCAGAAGAACTGCAGTGTGCGCTTCTAATGAGCAGAATGTTATCAGCTCTTGCTTGGTGTCGACTGGACGCCAGTATTTTAATTGTTATAATTATCTTTTTTTGGTATAAACGGGCCTTAACTGTA